GCGGGCGGCGGGGCTGCTGGGGTGGCTGCTGCGCGGCTCGTGGCGGCGCTGGGCGGCGGCGCTGCTCCCCTGCGCGCCCGGCGGCGGCATGGCGGAGCCCCAGCCCGGCCCCGAGCCCCAGCCGGGCGGCACCGGCCCCGTGGAGATCCGGGTGGCCGCGGCCCCCGACGCCGAGCGCGCGGGGGACGAGGAGGAGGAGGACGACGACGAGGACGACGACGACGAGGAGGACCGGCGCCGCGGGCTCCTGAGCCTGGCCCCGCTCGGCGGCGGCAGCTGCAGCGAAGACGATTCCGGCCGCTGCTCCGGCGGCTGGAAGTCGAGGTACGGCGCGGACGCCCCCCTTCCGGGCGGCCCTCGGCCTCTGCGCGGCCGCGGCAGGCCAGCTGGGCTTGCAACACGCCCGTCGCGGGGGGTCCCGGCGGTTTGCCTGGGAGGAGGCGCGCCGAGCCTCGCTGGCGGGGCCTGGGCGCCCCGAAGCCGGGACCCAGCGGCCTTTCCTGGCCTGCTGCCGCCTCCCTTTTCTCTCGACTCGCGCACCTGCCCTCTGCATCTTGCCCGCGGCTGTGCGCCCGCTGAGCGCACTGCGCTCTCCATATTTACCCTCGGGTGCAAGTCCCACCTCGCCCAGCGGGGCTTACTCTTCCGTAAGTGCCTCTCCGGCCGCTCGAATCGCGAGGACTAGCGTCTTCCTTTGTCCGTTTCTGCCAAACAGGATGGTGCAAAATCTAAGAGTCTAGAAGGAACTGCAGGGAAGGTCTGCGTTTTGCCCGAGGTTGCCTGTATTTGACAACTGCAAATGTGCAAAATAGCTTTTGTCTGTGGCCCCGAAGTCTTTCTCTTGCTCTGCCAAACGGGGAGAGGGCGAAATCCCAAGAACTCTTTGAGCGGTTCCCTACCTCAGGGTAGGGTTTTAGGCCAGAATGAGCTGCGGGGCCTGTGAACTTGGGCGGGCGGGGGGGCGCTACCACATTTTGAAGTCATTCAAGCGCCCATCAAGAGTCGCCCCCACCCCAAGTATGAGAGGGAGTGACTCCGTAATGGAAGCCACGGCCTTGAGCTTAGAAGAGCTGCGCAGGGCAGGGCGCTTTGGAAGACGAGTGTCCATGGGGCCACCCTAAGTTGCCGATGATTTCATTGCATGCTGGAAGATAATTGCTAACAGCAGAGTCTAAGCTTGTCTAACGGACTCCACTGCACCCTTTCCAAGCCTGGTTAAGGGCATGCTTTAAAACTGGTCAGCAAAGGGGGAATCCAAAGTGCATTCATCTGTGCTTTCACTCCTCCCGTGTCTAGAAAGAAATGTCTAGGGAGGAAGAAAAATAAGAAGAAAAGAAATATTCGGCCCCAGGAATATTTTCTCCCCAGGATCTGAGTGGTGCTGGCTGTGGCAAGAAATTGGTGGAATGGTTTTTCTTTTTGCCAGATCTTTTTGGCGTGGGATTTGGGCGGGTGAGCCAAATAGCTCTGGGCCACATTCCGGAACAGGAGGGGCTTCTCTCCAGCCATTGGGATGCTCATGGGTGAGTCCTTGCTCAGAATGGCGATGGACAGTGCCTTGCAGATGCTTGATCTTGCTACGTCAAATGAGGGTTGTGGTCCATGGGAGGGCTGGAGATGCCCTATAGCTTTTCCCTGCATGTTCAGACTCCGGAGTGGTCCCCTTCTTTAAGGGGGGCTGTATTTGTACTTCGCGGTCATGGCTGTTGTGATAAGCTCAGGTGTCGGCCTGCGTTGGTCTTCCTGCAGACTCCGATATCTGTGCAAATATCACCTAGAAGATGGAGCACATTCTGATAGGTGATGCTCCAGGGGACACATCAGAACAGACAGCTAGAAAGGAGGAGAAGCAGGGTTTTGTTAAACATTCGGCAAATAGCTCCTGGTGGTTGAGGGCTAAGCTGGAGCCTTTGAAGCAGAAGCGGGAGGGTCACCTGTCAAAGGATGTGGTCCTTGCAAGATTCCTGCACTGAAGGGACCAGGGGGACACCCATGAGTTTGGGGAGCAGAGAGGAACTTGTACTGGGCTTTGGCCCAGAAAAGAAAAGGAAAATTCCAGTGGTAGGAGAAGGAAAGTGCCACTCCTTTATTGAGAATGCAGGAGGAGGCAGAGAGGGAAAGAACTCCTGTGAGCAGAGCTTTGTCTGAAATGTGGGGTGCTCGCCTGGTCATGGAGTGTACTCGCCTCTGGTGACCTGGCCATTGGCTCCATGGAATCCAAGCTAAAACAGCAAAGCTTCATTGCACACAGAGCAGGAAGCTGATAAATAGCATGAAAAGAGCAGTTATTCTATTAGTGGACACATAATTGAGACTATTCACAATAATTTGCTTGAATTTCTTTTTGGTAAATGCATAAAGCGTGGGAAGAAAGAAGGAGAGACAGTTTGGGGAGTTGTTAAATAGGCAGTATCTGTTTAAAATTCCCTTGGTAGTCTTGTGTATTTTGTCTCTCTTGTTTACTTTACTTTGTTCTGTTTATACTAGTTTTTCCTATTTTACTTTTTAACGTATTTGTATATGTTAGGAAAAAATAATTAAAAATGGCAGTAATTCGCTTGAAGGAGCGGCACTGAAGATGAGATTGCTCTCTGGGCCAGAGGACCAAGCTGCAAGAGGTGCTAAGCTCATTGTTAACCATTATGTTGTTTTGTTTGCCTTTAAGTAAACCAGGGGTGGGGTGGGGTGGGGAAGGGTTGTTCCTCAGAGGGGCAACACTTGGGGAAGGGGGAGAGCAGCTTTTCCTGCCTTCCCACGGTCCCAATAAACACTCCCCACCCCAATCCAAGAAGTCCCAACAGGTGCAAGCCTGCATTGTGGGAGGAAAGGGCTTAAATTCTTTATCCCTATACTCTGCAGATGGAAAACTCCCTTCCCTGTGCCCAGACGAATTTTCCTTTTAAAATCCTGACACAGCTGCTCAAGAGGCATTTGGTACCGAGGAGGGCGGAGAGCGGACCCCAGAAAAGCCTCGGCTTTGGGTTCACTGTACCCCGCCTGCGGCCCTGGAGCTCCCTTTTGAGGGGTCCGTTCTGCACAGGCATGCCCTTCCCGGCCTTCTCCTGCAGCACCTTTCCCCTTCCTCCCACTCTGGCCCCATCGCCTTCTCCCAGTGCAAACTGGGGACTCCCCCGCTACCGCCCACCCCGTCCCGCCGCTTGTGCAAGCTCCCGGATCCTCTGCTCTGAGGCTTTGCAGCTGTCCCGGCTCCTGCCACCAGGCTCTTGGCGGAGGGAAAGAAAGGGGGTGGCGAGGGGGGGCTTCCCCCCTCCTGTGCCCTGCAGCTCCGAGCCGAGCCCGAGCCCGAGCCCGGCTCGACGGTCCACGCAGGCACCGCCTGACGCAACAGGGCTTGTCGGCTCCCAAATCCAACAGGAAGCCCAGAGCATGGGGAGCTGGATATTGCATGAGGCTGCCTCCGTCCCCCCCCAGCTGGCTCATGCAATGCTCTAAAGCCGCCTTTGGCAGGGAGCCGGGAGAGCGAGGTTTCCCGGGCCTGGTGGAGGGATGTCCTGCTGACCTGGCAGTTGGGCGGGTGGCAGGAGAGGGAGCCGGCTTGCTGAGCCGCTTCTCGCTGGAGGATGGCCTCCCGCCGCCTCTCCGTCCTTCGAGATCTGTCTGGGGGCCTCTGAGCCCTTGCTGTGGATGCTGCCCTGTGGCAGCTTCGGGCTCTGCACCCCCGTCCTGCTCGTGGGGTCCCTGCCCAAAGGCCTGGGCCCAGTCCAGCAAGACTCTTTGTATTTTCCTTGTTCTTCTTCCTTGGGAAGAAGATTCAGCCCCTTTGCCTCCCCGATTCTCATTTGGAAATTATAGTTTCAAAATGCACACGTGATAGAATACACGTGCCTGTTGCGTGTTTGTGTGTGCGCATGCAGATGCGCGTGTGTGCAACAGCACATGCATAGAAATGAAATGTGTTCCTCTCAGAGAAGAACGAGACTCCAGTTTGGAGGCCCTTGATCTTTCCCACTCTTGACCTGGGATTCTGCAAAACTGATCTAAGGAACCCATCTCTAGCCATGCTTCCGAAACAGGCCCAGTTGCTATTTTGCAGTGTGCTTCCAGCCTCTGAACCCAATTTGGAGAAGTGGCACATGACACGGGTACTGGATCCACCTCGGAACACCAGAAGCTGCCCTCCGGAGCGCCAGCAAACGGCCTGAGATCAGTGTTGCCAACACTGGCCAGCAGCCGCTCTCCAGGGTTTTGGAGGGAGGCTCGGCCAGCCCTAGCGGAAGATTTCGGGGACCAGGCCGGGGCAGAGCAGGGCTGCGGCCCTTTTGACGGCAGCCTCTCCCTCTCCCCGGCCACTGACCCTCCGCTGGGTAACCGTCTCCATCCGAACCTCAAGGCTGGGCTTTTTTTGTCAATCTCATTAGCTGGGTGCGTTGTGCTTGGTGAAGGATGAAAGCCGATTAGGGTGCCCGGGAAGCTTTGCGGCGAGGGCAGGGCGGCTAGTTGGACTGCTCTCGGCGATTAGCGTGATCGGCGCGGTGAAGTCTCCCCCTGGGCCGTGACGCACTGGAGGCCGTCAGCAGGGAGTTACCTGGAAATAAATGCATCGGAAGACCCGAGGCAGGAGCTTGGATTACGGCCGGCTTAACGAGGCGGCAGTGGGCATTCCCGCAGGTGGCAGGCCGGCTCGGGCAGTGGTCCCGGGACACACTGCCTGGCCTCCTTGCCTTGCTGGCTCCTTTTGGGCAGCTGCCGGTTGCGGAGATGCTGAAATCTCATGCCAAGGGGGCAGAGGGAGGCCTGCCACTGGCTGAGAACCTTCATGGCCAGGGCTGCTTGTTCGTGCGTTACCCAACTGAGAGTTGCTTACGGGGAGGTTTCAAGGACAAACATCTCCAAGCAACGGTATAACGAAGAGCACAACAATAAATGCAGCCACCCATAGATTGAAATACTAAGCCACTGAGAATATGAAAGAGCCCCAGGAAAGCTAGCCGTTGGAGTCGCGGATTAAAGGCCTGCTTGAAGTTGTCTTAACCTGATGTCTAAATACGTGCCGTGAAGGGGCCAGGCAGATCTCCCTGGGAAAGGCACTTCATGGACACGGGGCCACTACAGAGAAGACTGCTGGCCGCTTATTGCTCCTTTTTGGGTCACGGCAGCCAGAGAAGGTCCTTCGCAGACTATCTTAGCCATCAGGAAGGATTATATGGGAAAGGGTGCGCCTTCCCATCCGGCATCCTGTTGTTTACCCTGAATGCCCATGTTTGCAACTTGTCTTTCTTTTTTGTTGCTTTTAAAGTACGTCACCCTCATGGTTGCAGACCTTTGGGAGTCTACATGTGCAGGGTTGGGACACCTGTGTGCTCTTGAGTTCTGACCCGGCTGCTCTTCCGTGGCAGGACTGGGACTCCCCAGTGTTCGTTTGAAAGCAGGAATGCTGAAGAGGCTGCAGCTGTATAATTCTAGCCACTGGAGGTTTGGGACCAGACAAGCCACATCTAAGCCTCCTAAGGCAGTGGATACTTAGACTGCTCCACAGTTTCCTCCCCAAGTAACTCCAGAAGGCAGTGATGGGAAAACCAGCTTGTCTGCAGGGAAGTCATGAGAGATGCAGACAGGCTGTTGCAGAAATACTGTAGTTCTTTTTCTGCACTTCAGGGAGGCAGACAGACAGACGAAGCAACATTTACGATTTTAAAGCTTTAAACCAGGGGTATCGAACCTTTTTCAGCTCAATGTCTAAATTCCCCTTTGATTAAGTGCTGGGAGGGGGCGGGGCTAGTTACGAGGGTGGGTGTGGCCAAAGGCAAAAGAGGCGGGGCCATTTTTAAAAGTGCTTTCCGCTTCTAGCTCCTCTGCTTGGGAGCAGTGTTTCGGTGTTTCAGAATGAAGCCTCTGTGCAAAAGCAGGATCTACCCCATGACTGGCAGCTGGGAGAAGGAGGCGGAGCCAGTGGGAGGGGGTGTGTCCATCTGGGGAACCGCCCAACCCCATCCATGCTGCCAAGCTGCGGATGTTTTCCGTTCTCTGTCGTTCTGCCTTTTTTCCTTGCCATCGCCTTGATCGCTCTTCTGGTGGTTTAATATGCTTCATATTTCTACAGTTGTGGTGAGCTGTCTTTGGGCACACTGATGGAAAGATGCGGTATTTTCAGTAAATCCACACACAAGCAAGGGAGTGGTCCAGGGTGACTCAGTCCCTGCAACAGCGTAGGAATTTGCTTTTTGGCCAGAGCTTTGACCTAGTCCTGGACTTCAAAAACAGCTGTGTGGACCCGCTAAGATCCTGCTGCGGCAGCTGGTGACTGCAGCTGAAGAGGTGGGCCTGAGGCCTCAAAATTCAGGCCCGTGCAAGTGTGCTCGTCTTTGTGGGACCCTGAGACATTCCGCTTGTTTTTCTGCAAACCGTTCCTCTTCTAAGAACGGGGTCAGGCTGCCATCCCCAGGGCATTCACCTGCTGGGAGAAAGACCCGTGGAAGACGGTAGGACTGTCTTCTGAGTAGACCAAAGTTCCACCATTAGTACATCCTGAAGCCTCGTCATGCTCTTGTTGGAAGGTATGACTCAGAACCCAGAGCTTCAGGGGTGTAAACTAAGGAGATTACGGCCTGGCTTAAGCTCCTCGTACACACGCATTCCCTGTACATCCTCCCTCATTAGAGGCACTCACAAAAATAGAGCTGGTTGCACGCTTAGTGGGTGGATTGGATCCCCCCTTCACTTGGCCAGCCCTCGGAGCATCTTTGCGCCTGTGGGGAAACCTCAGTTTCCCTGTGCGTCCGTTCTGGTTGCCTCGATGTGTTGCACAGGTGGAGAAAGACACATGGGGTGTCTCAGGCGTTGTTTTGTGGTCCTGTGTCGTCTTCCCTTCGCTCGGCTTGAAATCTTTCATACCAGGCCACTAAGCCAAACCAAAGCAGGGGATGCGTTGGATGCTTGGAAGCTTCCATGGACCCTTCGCCTGGCAGGCACCGTCCACGGACTGGCAAGGGCTTGTGGAGAGGAATAACTTCTTGGAGAAGCCTTTCTTGGAGGCTTCTGCATGCAACGCTGGGGCTTTGCTGCGGAGCTACGACGGTGCGCCTAAACCAGGTGCAAATTCCAAACCTCTGGCATTCCTCAGGAAGAGCCTTCCCTCTAAGCCTTCTCTGCGGTGGTGCCCCACTTATGGAATGCGCTCCCCAGAGAGGTCCGCCTGGCGCCATCAGTTTGTTTTTCGGCACCAGGCCAAGACCTTTTTATTTAAACGTTATTTTAATTGCTGATTTTATTTATTGAGTTTATAATTTATGCCAGGATGCTTCCAGGTTTTATGTATTTATATTGATATTTATTTATGTGTTGGAAGCCGCCCCAAGGCTTATGCAAATGGGGTGGCATATAAGAATTCCGCCCCATTCCGTGTGTGTGCATGCGTGCGGTCTATATATATGCACGCAGGTGGAACTGGGTGGCTTTCTCGCCGTTTCTTCCCAATTTTAAAAGCTGACAAGGGCTTTGGTGCTAGGATGGAGCGGTTGCAGCTGCGCTTTGCAAGTATTTGGGGGGTTGTAGCCCCCCCCCCCCCCAATTTGGCATGTGGTCCTTCCCATCACTGCAGTGTAGCTATCCAGAGCTTCCCTGAAACGGAAATTTGGCCCTTGGACTGAAAGTGCTTTTTTCCCCCAGGTTTTGTTTCGTTTCTTCTGGGCCATCCTGTCCCCATCCTTGACCTAAATGGATTAGGATAAAGGGATTCTGTCTGTTAACTCCTTGGATCCCCCAGGCTGCGCAGCATTTCGGTCTCTATTTCCGTTCCTCTTTGTTTGATCCGCATCTTCCATTCTGTGGTTTAACCGGGAGTCCTGCACTGAGCAACGGGTTAGCCCCGATAGCCCCCTGGCCCCTTCCAGCTCGTCTTCTACGATTCCTCTTGGGGTTAAATGCAGTGAAAGGCTGTGGGGGATCTCCCCAGCACTGGGACTTCAAGTGGCAGCCGCTAAAACCCTCTGGACAGCCACTCCGTGGGCAGCACGTTGGACATCGGCCAAGGGCACGGACGGAGCTGCATCGTGCAAGGAGACCTCACAAAAGCTCTTCCCGCCAGCCCGTCCTCGGTCTGCAGATTTCTCCCTAAACCGTTTGCTGCTGCTGCCGCCGCCACTTTTCCCTTTTTTAAGTCTCCTTGACCAAATAAACGGGATATCTTTCACACACACACACACACACACACCAGAAAAATATTGTTGCAATCTTCCGAAAGAACGTGACTGGCTAATATGCTCCACGATTTTGAAGTGCAGAGGACACAAATGCCCACTCCGAACATGTGCCTGTTTTCTTTTCGGCGTGTGACTCACAAGCAGATGAGTCACTCTCTAACGGGGCTGTTTTTCTGGCTGCCTGCACATTAATTTTTGACATTGGCGTTCTTCAGAATCATACAATCTCCCCTTGCTTTTCTGGATGGGTTGGATGCGGCCCATCAATTATCTACTGATATTGAGGATATCATTATCAGTCAGTCTGTCTGAGGATTCACACAGACTCCCCCCCCCAAAAAAAATCTCTTATATTTGGTTTTCATAAGCTTGTGTTGATTTGGTTTTTAAAAGCACCAAATCCTGGATTTGGCAGAACTTGGATCTTCGTTTCTTCGTTGTATGAATCGGCAGAGTTGTGCCCAGACTGAACCGAATTTATCCAGTGGTGCTCTGATTCACTGGGCCGCTGGCATTTTTAAAAGAGAAATGACTCTACTGGGAGGCCAAGTGATGTAGCAGTCGGAGTACTAGACCGGGATTTGAGAGATCAGGTTTCTGGTTTGGGAGATGTGGTTTCTCTAAACTTGTGCAGGGTGCCTCTTTGCTGCTCAGTAACAGCTCGCCTGCATGCATCTGGGGGTTTTGCGGGACTTATGGATTATCGGGTTGGCATATTGGAAGGTGTACCTTCAAGCAGAATAAATTATGCCGAATAAGCAGCGACAAGAAAGAACCTCGACAAAATGTTGCAGCATGGAAGGCCACTCAGCCAGCCAGCTGCACTGTTCAAATGGGCTTTTAAGTTCTATTTTCAAGTTTTGTGATCCATGCTATGCTCTTTCAATTGCATCTATACCATTTTAAATAAATTGTTAACTGCCTGGAAAGCTTCGTCTGTTGAGCAGCGTATAAATGAAATGGATTGTTGACAGTCGTCGTAAATAAAAAGCAGTATTTCATGGTATTTTTCCATCTAGTGGTGACATTTTTTCCCCAGAAGCACCTCAAGGATGTGACTGTGAGAAACTGAGCCGAGTTTTTCAACTGGTCCATTTCCTGTTCTTTTCCTCCCCATCCCTTCCCTCCAGTGGTGGCGAGAATGATGGAGACGACTCGGACCGCAACTGGAAACCTCCAGAGCACGAACTGATCCTGAAGCTGGTGGCCCAAATTGAGTATTACTTTTCAGATGAAAACCTTGAAAAGGACGCCTTCCTCCTGAAACACGTCCGGAGGAACAAGATGGGCTACGTCAGCGTTAAGCTGCTGACATCTTTCAAAAAGGTACAGGTTTGCTTTCGAGTAGCTGTAACATCTTGTTTTCACCCAGAAAGCGCAGCCATGTGGGCTTTGCAACGACCGTATAAGTACCTTCTTTTTTGTTGATTTGGATAGGGAATGCTCACCTGCATAGATGTACATAAATGACATACTTTTCTCTTGATGGGTAATGAAACATCAGTGGGTTAAGTTCCCGCTTTCAAATTGAAAGACACTCGATTTGGCCACTCCGGCTGTGACTTTGAGTTCATGATTAGAAGAGTGAGAAGCCCTAGAGTAGACTTTTCTTCTCCTTGTGTCCCCTGGAGATCTTCCCCTGGAGTCCTATAGATATATCTAGACCTGTTTAGGAAGTAACGCCAACATGTGGACTGCCTGTCCCTTGGAACTGTAGATGTCGCTCACCTCTTCAAATTTGTATCTGCTTTCATTCACAAGCCAGGAATGCCGTGCTTAATGTAATATCCCAAACCTGAACTCTGGGTTGCTGAGTAACAGTCCCAGAGTTGTAACCCAACAACAAACCACAGTTTCTTTGAACCTCAACAACCCAGAGCTCTGGGTTCTCACATTGCATCAAACAGCCAAGGAATGGGGCATCCCTGGGTTGTGGGCGCAGGTGGTATGTTGCTTCCATGCCGTTCCATATGGTGGCCATTGCATGCAGCTCAGGGCATGTAGGACCTATGCATGGACGGAGGACATCTTTCCAAAGCGTATAGGGCCCGGGAAGATCTGTTTTGAAATAGTCCTCATAGTTCTCAAGAGGGCCAACACTGGTTATGTAAGAAACCCAAGAACGTTTCCATCTTTCCATTGTACCGCAAGCAGCCTCACTCCAGAGAAGACCGCCCTGGCTTTCTGGGCGTGCACTAAAGCTGTTTTGTTGACTGTGTGCTGATGCAACCTTGCAAGGGTTGATTGGTCATTGCATCCCTTGGCTTTCTACTTTTAGGCTTTGTCCCAAGCACGTGGCAAGTGTCATGTGAATGAAGGCCAGTCCTATTTTAACACTATAATAGTTAAAATTATAATTGAATGTTAATAACATATATCACTGGAACTACCCTGGCTTTCGCTGAACATGCCACCTTTTCTTCTTCACAGGTTAAGCACTTAACCCGAGACTGGAGAACCACAGCGTATGCTCTGAAATATTCCGATACTCTGGAGCTGAATGATGACAGCCGAAAGGTGCGAAGAAACACCCCCGTTCCCGTATTCCCTAGCGAGAGTCTCCCAAGCAAGATGCTGCTTGTCTATGACATCTGCCTGACCTCAGATCTCCGTTCTCTGGATGAAGGGCAAGAGAACGGATGTGTTCAAGAGAAGATGATGGAGCGCCTCCTTAAAGTTTTTGTTAGGTACGGTGTGATTTCATCGGTACGCATCCTCAAACCTGGGCGGGAGCTGCCACCCGATATAAAAAAATTCAGTAGCCGGTACAGCCAAGTTGGGACCAAAGAATGTGCGATCGTGGAATTTGAGGAGGTCGATGCTGCTATAAGAGCTCATGAGTCGATGTGTATTAAGGACCACGAAACCGCGATGAAAGTGCTCCTCATTGGAATGAAGCCGCCCAAGAAGAAGGTTCTGAAGGACAAGAATCGTGATGATGGGACTAGCAAGGGTCCCAACAAAATTCGATCCATGAACAAGAGAGTGGAAGAACTGCAGTACGTCGGCGATGAATCTTCCGCCAACAGCTCCTCAGAGCCCGAGAGCAACCCGACCTCTCCCATTTCAGGACGCAGAGGTTGTTCTTCCAACAGACTGAGCCCCTCCTCCTGCCAGAACAATCACCTAAGCCCCAACGTGTCTCCGAGGTCAAGCCCTTGGAGCAGCCCCTCTTCCCTGCGGAAAGTATCCAGGATGTCCCCGCTTGCCGAAAATGGCAGGCTTAGCCTCAGCACTAGTCCCGAGACGTCGTGGAGATGTGCCGACTATTCCTCAGACAGTAGCGTCACCCCTTCTAGCAGCCCGTGGGTTCAGAGGCGGCGTCAAGCGCAGACTCTGACGCAAGAGAAAAGCCCGCTTGGGAGTCCAGTGCAAAGCCCCAAAATTCAGAGTGCGGTTGGGTTGCCCATTGGAGTGTTGCGTTTTCCAAGGGGCCCCGATGGCACCAAGGGGTTCCATAACAGCCACGAGCGGAGCAAGCCCGCCAAGAACGAGTGAGCCGTGCTTTTGCTGGACACGTCGCAGCATCTCTGACCAGTGAATTACTCCAGTATTGAATTACTTCAAGAACTTGGACCAAGGCAGTATTTTTATTTTTAAAAGCTTTTGTATCCATGTAGCTTTATACGTTTGCATTTGCACTTAATCTACGTTGTCTTTATATATATTTTTATTGTTTTGAAATCTCAGCATGGATGCATTTTACTTTTCTTTTTTTTAATACGCCATGTATAACTGAACATTTTATGGGGGGAAACGTTTTAATTTCCAAAGCTCTGTTTGAAAATGGCAAAGTGCAAATATATTTAGTCAATGCAATTGTCTTGAGTTGTACCAATTCTCCAAATAGTATGTTGAAGTCTCTTTCTTTTTTGTAATGTTTTGAAAGGAACACACACACGTTTCTGATGTTTTGCAAACATCTCGTCTAGTGTGAAAGGATACTTCCTTGGCATACAAAAATACAAAAAAGTGTATTTTTGGTAGTCTAAATAAATAACTCAATAACTTAAAACTGTCTCCTGGGCTTGTTGGACTTAAAAGCCAGGCTAATGAGAGTAAGACAGCAGTGGGTAAAAAATGTTGATTTTTGTGCTCTTAAAAATACACAGACCAGTGGTTTTCAACCTTTGGCTGGTTGCATAGTACGGGGTGGCAGGAGGGGGGGGGGGGAAGCTGGTCAACTATTGATCAGAGAAACCTGTCAAGAACATCCAATCGGCTTCTGCGGATTTCCTAGAAATATGGTTGGGAAAATCACTGCTTTGGACTCGAGGGAATGAGTGTAGTGACATGGAGCGTCTGACCAGCTTTGCCCGTTCTGGGCATCAACCCCCCCTACCCCTCTGTAAGCACCCCCTGCTTCATGCAGCCGAGGAAGATGGTCGTACTTGCTGGCTCTCTGCCGGCACTGATTGTATCCCAACCAGGACAGAAACGTTCCGCACCAGGCACTTTCTGCCCAATGCCCCTGATCTGTTTTCACCCTGAGGAGGAAGAGACTGCAAGCACGCCTTTCCTCGCTGGGGGCGGGGGGGGGGTGAAATAACCAGCCATAGCATGGCATTTGCTTCCCCCACAGGGCCCCTCCGCCCCCAGACCAGCTGCCGGGAACATGTGCCTTGCCCTGCCTAAGGACAGGGCCGGCCCCAACAAGCAGTGACAGGTGCTATGCAAGGGCAAGGCGGATACATGGCACCGGTGGACTGGATGGGTGTCTCCCATATTTTACTGCCGACAATCAGTTCTGTGCCCACGGGTGGCCTGTGTCCTGCAGCCACCTGCTTTGAAATTTGGGATATATGGGAAGAGCCTTGGCAAGTGCCTGCCCAAATCCGGCTGTCTCCAGAATTCCAGCTGCTGCTGACTTTCCCGCAAGTGGGAGCTGTAGTCCAGCACATCTGGGGCGGGGGGGCGGGGCAGTGCGCCTATGCACAGACGAGCGCTTGCCAGGTGCTCCCCCAGAGCTCAGCCGAGGGGAAGCTGCGGCTCCACCTGGGCGCTTGTGTGACGCACACTTTCCAAACGAGCAGGTGCGGCTTTGAGCTCAAACCAGCCCTCTCGGCACTCGCTGGAGATGGATCAGGACCATCAGATGTGCAGCCCAAGGCTCACTCCCCACCCTCCTCCTCCTCCGCAGGAGCCTGCAGTCCCACGATTTCAAACGGCCCCGCTTGGCCTCCGTCTGAGAGATCGGGCGGCTGCTCCCTCGCTGCCGTTATTCCCCTCGCTGGGCTTCCACACCTCGGTACTGCACTGGTATTTTCCTCCTCGTAGCCTTGCCTGACTCAGAACTGGTTCTCGTGTCTTTGTGGAGGCGTGCGGTCCAGACCCCACCGGAGCCCAGGAATGACGAGCGGACTGGCCGATATGAATAATATCTCGATGCTGGCGTTCTTCGACCCAGGGCTGCGCCCAGTGGAATTCCAGCCAAATCAGATCCAGAGGTCCCCTGCCTTCGCATCCCGGAGAGCAACGGAGCGTGGTGGTGGAGGAAACGCCACCCAGCACAACGGGCCAATCAGCCACAGGCTTCAGCCATTGTGAGATCATGGCTAATGTCCGTGGAGCAACCCACCCGCAGACCAACAGCAAGCACATCGGTGGGCAGCCTGGAGCTGGGATGCAGGCAACATGTCTTTCTTCTACAGGTCAGTGTTGTTACAAGACTTCCTCTGGAAGATTTCTATACATACAACGAAGCTGTGCAAAACTCGCTGTATCAGGTGGACCCGATCCGCACCAGGGGCCTTCCTGATGTTGCACACTAGCTCCAGAGTGGGCTTTCTCAATTTGGTGCCCCCTGTGGATGCTTGGCTACAATTCCCATCATCCCTGGTTCTTAGCCATGCTAGCTAGGACTGATGATTGTTGGGGCGCCATGTTGAAAAGGTGCTCTAAAGCAGGGGTGGAGAAGCTCAGACCTGGGGGCCAAATCCAGCCTGCCTGGAGCCCAATCAAGCTGCTGGGGTCCCTCAGGTGGCCATAACCCCTTTCCCTGATGGTTTCCCAACTTGGGGGTAACTTTTCCCCATGGGGGGGCTGCACGCAGTCCTCATTCTCTGCGTTTCAGGATGCTGGTCTGTCTCCTAATTCAATTCAGAGCTCACCTGTTTCAGTTCAGCTCACCTGGGGCCAATCTGCCCCTCCGAAGTTCATCAAATGGCCACAGTGACCGCCACCGGCCGCAGCTTCCCGCTGACCCCCCATCGTTTGGGGTTTGCTGACTGGCATGCTTTGCTTCCCCTCCTAAAGGCCTGAAGCAGTACCACTGTTGAAGCTTATTTTTCAGTGGAGCGGTGATCCCGCTGGCCTTCTTTCCCCATTGTGCTTTCCCTATAGCAACCCACTGGGAGCTGCTCACACATCTGCCCTAGAGACTGACAGAGAGCTGAGATCGTGAAATGGGACAAGGGTGGGAACGGGGGCCACAAAACCATTCTGCGTTTCCAAGATTTCCTTACAGGAAAAGAACAAGGAAGTTAACTCCTTGCAGACTTGTCACACCCGTCTCCCTCACTCTTTGCAGGGGATGTGTGCCTCCTTACGCCATCTCCCCAGAATACGGCAGCGACAGACCCTTCTATCTTTACGTTCCCAGCCCCGTAAGTATGGCTTCCTTCCCACCTGGCCTGTATCACTCCACCTGCCATCTCTTACGGTATGAACACCTTTCCTCCGGTGTGCACAGATTCTCATGGTGCTGCTTCAGCTGGGGATGTGTCCGCAGGAGGGTGGCCATGTGGCCATCTTCCAGGGGGGCATCCTCTATTTGAAAAGTGCTCGGGTCCAAGTCCAGTTTGAAGATAAAGGCCAATTAGGGGCAAGCGCTGGGCCTCGCCCTCAGTGGGCAGAGCTGATGGGGCGCGTGGCCACTGCCCTCTTCGCCATGGCGGGGCATGTTGTACTCCTATTTAAGTTACAAGCTTGCTGCCTAGAACTGCATCAATACACACGTGTTCCTTTCCCCTCTTCACTGGGGTGCGGGGGGCAGATCCTCCGTTGCAGAGATGCGTATGTGGCCCTCGGAGCGCGGATCTGCAGGCAGCTGCGCGATCCCAAGAGGAGAGTCCGTTCCCTGGAGAAAGTGCAGCCTGTATGGGGCCTACCTTGGGAGGGGGGAGAAAGCCTTCTCTCTACCTCCGCTTAGGGTGGGCCCTTTGGAAGCCACTCCCAGGACAGCCATGAGCCTACAATCTGCAAACCCTCATTGAGAACTGCAGGTGTAGAGCAATTGCTGGAGCTTAAATAGAAATGCATGCACAAGGTTTGCACCTTGGTTTTACCTTGGTTTCCATTTTTAGTTTTACTTTGGTTTTCATTTTTAGTAGGTTTTACTTTGGTTTTCATCCAATTCGACTAGGTTTTACTTTGGTTTTCATTTTTAGTAGGTTTTACTTTGGTTTTCATTTTTAGTAGGTTTTACTTTGGTTTTCAACTGATTCGACTAGGTTTTACTTTGGTTTTCATTTTTAGTAGGTTTTACTTTGGTTTTCATTCGATTCGACTAGGTTTTACTTTCGTTTTCATTTTTAGTAGGTTTCACTTTGGTTTTCATTCGATTTGAGTAGGTTTTACTTTGGTTTTCATTCGATTTGAGTAGGTTTTACTTTGGTTTTCATTTTATTATGTCCTGTAGTCTTTAAAACTTTTTAAATTATCTTTTATCACATGGTATGCTGTGGCTTCAGTTGTTGGAAACTGCCCAGAGTGCTTTGGCTATTGGGTGGCATAGAAATGTAAGAAACAAAGGAAAAAAGCCACGCTTGCTGAACTTCTGCCCCCTTCCAGCTTTAGAATTTCATAATAGTTTGGCCACTATCCTAGCATGCTGATCTTCATTTTTTCTTCCTTGAAGACTGTAGACAACAGCGGATTCATGCGAGAAAGCATTAAACATCGGGGAGCCATGATTCTTGATTTAAGCCAGGCCACAGGTAAAAAGATCCTCAGGTTAGCAACCTTAAAGAGCCACCCGCTATGAACTATCTAAACCACCAGGGTTGCGCTTGAGCAGGTAATAACAAGCCACCGTGGCCAATTCCTCCATAGGGCTTGCCTCCAAGCGCCCACTGCCATTGCAAACCTGGCCAGGAAGCATTTACACATAAAATCTGAAACAGGTCCTGGGCCGGCAGGGGTTCTCCAGGTTTTGGAGCAGGATATGTTTTCATTAAATGTGTATCTTGCCTTTTCTCTTTGCAAGGAACTCAAAGAGGCTGACATAATTCCCTTCCTCCTCTCCATTAGTGCTTCTGGTGGGTTGGACTGATTCACCAAGTGGGTGTAGATATGGGACTGTTCTTGGGCTGTTGGGAATCCGGCAACACGGTCGTCTTTGCCCCAGGGCTGGATCTGATCCTGATCCTGATCCTACCAGCTGCAACTTCACTGAATCTCAGACTTTGGTCTGCGGGGAGATGCTTCCTCTTCTACTCCTAGCAAAGACTGACAATTCAGAGCGAAAAAGGGTCTCAAAAGGAATGGACCATCCCAATGTTTATGATCTTCTCCTCGGCACTACTGTTCGTTTTTTAAAAGAAATGTGATGGAGACTATAAAAGGAAGAGTCTTTTACTTAATTGTTTATCGCATTTGTAGGCCACCCCATAGCCAAAGGCTTTTCCCGACACGGCATCGTGCTAACGTTTAGTTCCACTTTTTCAGGGTCTGGTCCTAATTGGGAGCAGAAGTGGATCAATTATGTAAATGTCGTCAATTCCATAAAACCCTGGAGAACAGCGGGCAAGCCCTTTGGTCAGTGTGCTGTTTATCTCCCCCCCCCCCACCCCCCACTTCCTCCTCTCAGCTCTGCTCTTTCTTTCAGGTGACCAAGCGGTTTGTGCAGCTTTATCCGAAAGCTTTATGCCCCATCCCTTATAGCTGTGAATGACCCTTACCAACAAGCATTCGGTCCGTGACTGAATATTCAATCATTCGGACCGGGTCTCGAAGCCTACGGGCAAATTTCATTTCGGAGATGTTTGGGGTGGGGAGGCAGTAGTGGGTGTGGCCAAAGGCAGAGGAGGAGGAGCCAAATCTCAAAAAAACGACCAGCCTGTTTTAGTTTAAAGCTCCTACTGCCAGTAACTAAGCCTTAGAAGGATTTTAACCATGAGGGCGGGGAGGAAAAGCTGTGCAAAACCCACTAAGGACTGGGAGGCAGAGGAGGGGTGACATGAGAATTAGTGCCTGGGAGAGAGAAAAGAAGGGGGGACTGCTTCACACAGCATCGAGCTGAGCTAGGGAGTTCTCCGCCACCACTTTGGACGGCTTTAAAAAGGGACACGACAGATTCATGAGGGAAGAGGCTGTCCGTGGCTACTAGCCTTGCTGGCCATGGGCTTCCTCCTCCACCAGAGGCGGCCTGCCTGCATTCACCTGCTGCTGAGGAGCTTGGGCAGGAGGAGGTCTTGCACCCATCCTGCTGGAGGGCAGAGTGGCCCATGGATCTGGATCTGAAAACACGATGGACCTGCGACATTAAGAGGGGAGCCCCATGAAACCACCAGCCTTAACACGAGAGAGAAAATGTGGAGAGGAACTTCCACGAGGGTTTTCCCTCCTCAGATAGCGAGGAGTTCCAGAATTCCACCAGGGAGGTCAGGATTCTTGTCTTCTCTCTCAGGTCTTACTCCATACAAGTTTCAACTCCCTTTGGTCTTTTGCAGTGTGTGACCGACTCTGGCTTTGGACCAGCTAAAGGCAAGCCAGAAAGGAAACTGAGGACAAGCAGAAGCTCTTTGTGCTATTAAAACTGGTAGCCTGAAATGAGAACACTTTGCTATTTCTCCCTCCTCTTCCGCAGCTCGTGGGATGATTTGCTGTCCTGCTATTGGTCCTGGATCCTTCCACAGGTGATTTATGTGCCTGTTAAATCGGTCTCCGATTCTGCTTCGTCTCTCTCCTCCCCTTTACCCTTGGTGTCTGATAGCTCTTGCGTCAAGCCTGAAGGGTGACAAACGCTTGTGTTTTTCATTTCTGGAGAGTGTTTTGGTGCAGCCCCATTTAGCTGTCTGCCCTTTCTGGACTGGAGAACAGAAAGAGTATTTGCTGTGCCAGATCCACTGCCTCAGCACGATGCCCATCCTACAAAAACAGGCAGTGGGAGAACCACACAGTTAACCCGTATTTCTAGGTCAGTAAGAGGAGCGTCACGAATTTCCTCCGGGTGCTTTTCGTTGCCCCAAACAGCACCTTGCATTCAAGCAGTATACACAGCACAGCACAGCACAAAAGCACTGAATGTGATCGCAAGGCGAGCCTCGTATCACTTCTGCTGCACACTGACCCTTAAAATGTTTGATTTCATTTGAACCAAAATGGGGAGGAAACATCTAAGAGGGAAAAATGCTTAAAGCGGGTGTTACTGATTTCCTACATTTACGATCCATAGTAGCTGGGCCTTTCTGCGATCAGATGCTAGTGAAATAGATGCAGGCCGCTTGTCCGAAGGAAATGCCGGCTTGGTTCAACACGAGGGGATCGCATTGATTTCCTGGCTAGAAAGAGGCAGCACTCTTGCCTCTGAGATAAAAGAAACCCCTATGAGCAAGACCCGAACTTTTTCCAGACAGCACCTTTGGAACACCGTACAATCCTTGCCCTCCCATTGTAAGCTGTGGGTAGAATCGCAATTGCTTTTCCATTCCGTAGGGAACGTTCTGCTTCTTCTGTATGCACGTGCTCCCAAGTTCCGTCCACATCCGCTCACATACTCCTGTTTTCCAGCAAGCTTTCTTGATTTCAACAGCACGAGGAAGCAGAAAGTGTGTTTTGCATTTGCAGTTGTTCAGCCCCTGGGCGTTGGAAAACGTTGCTGACCTTCTGCGAGGCCCCTGCAGATTTACGAGGTAGATCCCGGTAAACATCGGCCTGTTCTGTCTGGCATCAGCCACATGGTGCACGCGCACCATTCGGTGGGGTTCTGACGTAGCTACTCTAGTACAGATGGTCTGAGTTTATGCCATCGTTCCTTTAGTGTGGCCTTCGTATGGCTAGAGGCAAAGATGTGGTTGATGGCCTCATAGGAGAGGTCCCATATCTGTGCTTTGGAGAGCTGAAACGTGTCTGCAGCCAGCTGGTACTCCTGAGACAGGTCGGTCGCAAAAACACCTTTGTCGTCCGTCTAACGGCGAAACACATTGTGAAAGACGGCGTGTTAATTCCTTCGCTTTTGCGCGCGGAAGAAGAGGCCTCCGCCAAAGGACAGCTGTCCCCTCCCCTACTGGTTTGCAAGCTTCCTGCTTTCAAAGCACATTTCCAAGATACTCACTCGACCGTCCAAGGACTACCTGTCACAAAGAAGTCTGGGGCATCCTGCGTAAGGCCCACTCAGCAGAGCATTATGCAAACAAGGGAATCTGACTTCTGTCTACACACATGGGGGAAGCCACTTTGGAAGGCTCTATTGTATTAAAAAAAAAATCATAAAATGGAGGGACTGACTGCGATAAACACACGTCCAGCACATCAGAAGAATGGGTCAGGCTAGAATTGCCCTCCGTGATTTATCAAAATCCATACCTACCTGATCATGAAAGGCAGACAAAACCTCCATGTGTAGGAGCAGTATACCTGCCAACAACTGCTATGTACAACAATAGGAAAGGACAGATCGTCTCCCTGCAGATACCTAGTTGGCTGCTGTGGATATAAATATTTCCCTTGGCCTGATTCTGCGGTGTGCAGATTCTTAAGACAGAGACGTCGAGCTAAATCTGAATGAGGGTTCCATGCTGTTTTTTGGAAAGGAGGTTTCAACCCAAGGTCTTTGTGCCCAGAAAAGAAGAACTTACACAAAGAACGATGGGGTGGCCTGCACTGTACCAAAACCCGAAGTGATGCTGCTCGCTGGAAGGCACCGTCTGGCCTTTGAGGTTTGACGTCATGCAGATTTCTGAGGAAGCAAAGGGGAGTCCGTGAAGGAGGGAATCAGAAGCGCACGAGGAGCCATCACAGGAAAAAGAGACATTCTGCCCTGATCCTCGAATTAAGAAACATCCAGGTCTAAACCAGGGTGCGGAGCTGTAGGCCCAGGGCCCCTGTCCGTCCCCCCAAGCTCTTCCAGACAGCCAGGCCCATTCCTGGTCCCTCCCAAAAGGAAATGATTCTTCCGAGGTTTGCAGCTGGCAGGAACAGCTGGAACGGGCTGGCTTTCCTGCCTTCCCCATTCTGTTTTGGTTTTGCATTTTGCTTTCAGCGCCATCTGTTCCTGCAACACGGCCCACAAAGGCCTTCTCCGGGGTGGATTTGGGTGGCTTCTGGAGAGGAGAGCAGTTCAGCACCCCGGTTTAAACTCTCTCTCCCGCAGAACCACCTCGGCTGTCTGCAGAACAACAAACCCATGCAAGAGAGCCAGTGTGGCATAGTGGTGAAGTGAAGAGCGTGGGACTGGGACTCAGGCGATCTGGATTCGAGTCCCCACTCAGCCTTGGAGCCAACTGGGTGACTTGGGCCAGTCACAGATGCTCAGCCCAACCTACCCCACAGGGTTGTTGTTGTGGGGATAAGATGGAGGAGGAGAATGATGCCAGCTGCCTTGAGCCCTTGGTAGGAAAAAGGCAGGATATAAATCGAAAAAAAAGAAAAACTATTTTCTTACCCAGGGCAGTGGAGGAATGCTCGAAATCCCCTTAGCCCTTTCGAGATGATACAAACATCCATGCTAGTCTGAGAATGGAGGCCAAGGGCATCTGTGGGAACTTCCCAGGCAATGGCGTTAATACTGGGCCACCCCATATTTTGTGGGTTTGCAAATCCCCACACCTGAAAAACCTTCCCACGTAAAGCAAGGGTTTGATCGAATTTCTGCTTGTAATTCAGTATGCTGTGGGTTTGGGGGGTTTTTTACATGGTTGGATTTCATATGGAAGTGCTCTCAGGTCCGAACTCCCCATGGCGAAGCTTGAGAAGGTCTGTGTCGGTCCGAACACCATAGCAAATGAGACCAGCGATGCTCACCCAGAAGCTCCACCTAATGCCCTCCCTGTCTCTCCCCAAGAAAAGTCTCCGACACCAGCGGTGGTGGCTGTGGGAAGCAAGGGCCGAGGGCCGGGGCGTCCACAGGCCACAGCGGCAGAGGCCTGGTGAGTCCTGCCACCCCGAGCTTGCATTCCACCTCCTTTCTTACCGAGGGGTATGTGCCTTTGCCGGACAAGGTGTACAAGATCGTGCAAGGCGGTCGATGAAGAACGCAGAAACGTGCCGTGTCCGATCCTGTCAGGGGGCAGGCCCAGGAGGAGCCTGGTCTCCTCTTCCTGGTTGGGGATCTGCAAAGAAGACACGCTGGGCCAAGCTGCGCACGGGGACATGCACACGGTCATGCCGAACATGCCTGGTGTGGCTGTCTTAAAAAAGAGACTGGGGTGGACTGACTGGGGCGATGCGGTCAGCATTTAAGCTTGCTCGCCAAACCCCTTGCATGACTGTTCCCACTGCAAATTCCCCACACGGCAAACATGTTACCTCTGCAAGATGGAGCGCCAGCTTCAGCCCAGCTTTTCTGGCTTGCAGGAGAGGCTCCAGAAAGTCTTTTCCATGTCCTATCTTGAAAGCAAACACGAATCGCAAACAGAGCTCAGTAAACATGCACACACAGGAATACAGAATACTTGACACCCAATGAAAACACGCAATATTTTTGGTGTGTTAAGGAATGCTTACCGTAGGATTTCCACTGAGATCAAGGCCCACGACCACTCCGTCAGTTGAAAGCAGAAAGTCTTCCGCCAGTTTAACTGTTTCCTTGGCAACTCTGGGTCCCCGGCTTCTGTCCACTGATATTAGAAATCTAGAATGCAGTGAAGTGAAGAGCCAGCAAAATGCATCATGCAAAAGATGTAGCCAAAAACAACCTCCAAGCACGGCCAGACGGTTTCCCATCCAGCAGTCCCCTACAGGCATGCTGGTGGAGAAGCTGCTTTCCATCCCTTGCTACTGGATCCCTTCACCTGGAGAAACCTGGGACACTCTGCAAAGCACCTGCTTCCACCAAGTTGAAGTCCCTCCCTTACACCTATCAATGTCAGCTGGACAGCTCAGCCCCTTTAAGCAAGGATCACCTGGGACACCCAGTGGGAGAGCTCAGCCGGAAGATTTTCAAGGTAAGTTCCAAATCAGTACTGTTCCGTGCACAAACGGAGGCCTGTTTTCCCACAAAAGTGGACACAGGTGGGTTTCAGCAGAGGAAACAGCAAGAGCGCTTAGGAGGGCCTGTGCGTCTTTCACCGGGAACTCAGCACTAGGAATTGGAGGATCTGAAGCCCGAGGGCTCGGGCCTCCAACTTACCTGACGTCTATATCCAGCTCATCTTCTTTGCATTGTCTTATACCCTCAAGGACCGCTTCCACATACGTAGTTTTGGTCATACCTGTGAAAAGGCACGGATAAGATTGGCATGCATTTCGGGAATAAAACAAATAGTTTCCCCAGCCTAGGCCCACACCAGATCTTTTTGGATAACAACTCCCAGCTTTCCTGACCACTGAACATAGCTGGCTAAAGCTGATGGGAGCTGAAGTCCAGAACATCCAGAGATCGCCAGACTGGGGAAACTTGAAGTGTTCACACACACACACACACACACACACACACCCCACTGTTTTTTGCCTCCCAATATCTATTGCAGTCAGACCAGGCTATGGCAACGCATCTATCCGAGCATCACAACATTCAGACCAGTGCTGGATATTGTTCAGGCAGGGTCCACGTGCCACTAAATAAAAAAATGCACGGATACGCAAGGGCAGCCATGAGCCAATTTCGACTGGAAGGTATTTCAGTGCTTTACTGCTCCCAATTCTAAATTCCCCCCACCCCGAACTGTGGCTGGAAGAAGCAACGCTTCTCGGAGTGGAGAGCTCATAGAAAGGAGCCTTCCAAGGCAGGTCTTTGCTCGCTTGCTCGTTTCCCGCAAGAAAGGGCGGCTGATTACCAGTGGCAGACTCCTCTCTGGGCGTGCTCCTGAGCTCTAGGTACTTGACTCCGTCGGCAGCAAACTCGCGAATAACATCCTTGGTGACCTGAAATCACAGTGGAATTTTAGACCGAAAGCAGATCTGCAGAGGGGGCACAGTTGTTTAAAATGCACAGCCTTGGAAGGGAGTGCGCAGCCATTCGGGCTGGTATCAGGATCGGCACAGCCAGGCACCCGCTCACGGAGAAGACTTCCGGAGTTGCCCCCCCTGTTCCCGTTGGCTTGCCCCTCACTCCGGCCCAGGCAATGGAGGTGGCAGGCAGGGGAAGCCAGGGCCTCCTCGCTCCCTGACTCTGGGCTTGGCAAAGAAGGAATGCTAGCCATGAGGAAGAGGAGGAAACAGAGCGCTGACTGAGGGAGGGGCCCCCAAACCTCGGCCGTTCAACCTAACATCCCTTGTTGCAGGGAAAAGTTGGAAGAGAGGGCGGCACGACTGTGTACAGCCCAGAGAGACAATAGAATGACTTGGGAATAAGCCATTCAACCAGAAATGCCAAATCACGATCAGCCAACAACTGAAAACTTTCAGCGATGTGCTCAGCAGAACATGTGAAAAGAAGCTAAACTTCACCTACCATTAATATGTCTTCAGTCCTATTGGTAATCTGATGGATGAGCTGAAACATCTGGAAACATCTGCGCCAGTGATGGGAAAGATAATCGCATGAAACCACTAAGAAATTATGCATGCAATTAAGAGGGGAGGGAAGCCACAGATTCTATCACTGAACAGAACTGATCCGCATGCTTAGCAAGTAGAAATTATTTGGATTTTTTAATGACGTTTTAATTTTTATTTTAACGGTAATCAATTTTCTGGATATTGTAAAACATATTAGAATGCTTGATAGCTCATCGTATGATGCAACATGTGGACTGTGAGCCTGCAAAGCTTTTTACAGTACATGCAATAAAGTCACATTCAGTTACTTAAGAAAAGCAAAGCGCATAATAAAACATTTCCTCAGTGGCTGGAGCTGATGGGAGCTGAAGTCCAAAACATCCGGAAGTCATCAAATTGTCGACTTCCCTCAAGTCAGCAAGTCAACTCCCTTCAAGAGGAAGCCTTTTCGGGTTCTCCCTCTTGAGTATCTCGATTTCTTACCAGTTGCTACATTTCCGTACTTCCATGTTGTTCTCCTAAATTAAGTGTTTACACTGAAAGGGAATTTACTCGGAAAAGTATAATCAAAAGCTGAAGTGTGGAGCATTCTTGCTCCATACACTCCAGTCCATGCTTACATTCATCTGGTGGTACCCATGGAACAAACTCAGTATTTATCGGGTTCTCTCCCTCGGCAGCTTTGCCCAAGGAGGAGAGGCTGGTGCAGGCGAAAGCGCTCCAACCTGCTGGGAATAACCTGTGTATGGTCTGAAGGGGCATGAGGCATCCACGATGTGGAAGCTAAGCAGGTCCAGGGCTGGCCTGAGCTTGGAGGGGAGACCCCCCCCCCAAGAACCTGGGCGTGGAGCCACCTTGAGTTTCACCATGGGGAAGAGGGGAAATAAACATAAATTAATAATTCTTGTCCCTGGTTGAACTGTCCAGGGGGGCTTTGACTTCAGGGGCATGGTTTGTGGAGGGCTGGGTGGAGTTTCTTCACCCACACACCCGGACCGTCTCCCCGCCAACTCAAAATATATTCCCCACCTCTGTTTTAAGGCCTTGAAATTGAGAGGCATTGGCTACTCATTTAACTGAATATACCTCTCAGCTGCCCTCTCAGGGCAGGAGACCGCACGAGGTGGCATATAACAGTATGAGAAGAAAAGAATAAAACTCAAAGCCAGTGAAATACTAAGAATTCAGGAGTGGCAAATGTCCTGAAAGCAAATACTGGCCAAAAGGAGCAACCCCACAGCTGCAGTGATGGCCCCAACTGAGAAAGCATATTTGGGAAGGTCGGAGTAAAGCACTGTTTTCTGGACCTTCCAAAGAGATGGCAAGGGTGGACCTGGAAACCTGTAATGGCAGCTTATTCCAGAGGATCGGACCACTGCAAAAAAGATCCTTATGCATGCAAGCCTATGCAAGTTTAGGCAGTCAAAAGGTCTGGAATTCCTACCATCCCAAAGTCAGCCTACTGGAAATGCTAAGCCTTCTGTCTGCCCAAACACACACTGGATTGCATCTTACATGCATTTTTAGTATAACTGATGAAGTGTTGTTTTAAATTACTGCACACCACTTGGATGGTTTTTAGCAACTAACACGCTACATAAATATTGATGATAAATTATCTGCTGGCCTGCTCCCAGAAATTGCTCTCAAGGCGTGTCGGGGGGGGGGGACTCACTCTTCCAGACTTCTTTTCTTCCCCTTGTCAATCACAGTCATGTCAATATCAATCTGAAGATCTGGTTTCTGAGCCATCAATTTCTTCATGGTTTCCGAACTGATGGAGCCATTCAAGTGAGCATGCAGCTCCTGGATAAGAAGCAGATCACGGTTTTGTTTTGGGGGTTTCTTTCCTGACTCCCCAAGATTTTATCTGAAGCATTTTTCACATCTTTTCCCTACTTTAATATTTCCAAATGCAAACAAAACTCATGCAACAGTGCACAATTCTAATCACTCAAAAAGGATATTATGGGGTGGGAAATGGAAGAGGATCCAAAGGGCTAAAAAGCAACCTTGCCCAACTCTAGAAATACCGAACAACAACTCCCATCCAGAATGGGAATGATGGGAGTCATGCTCCAAAACACTGACACAAAACTGAGCACAAGCATTGGACACAAAATGGAGAAAAACTGGCCTAGAGCTTTTTGGTTTCATGTCCATGAGCACTACTGGAGGCCGTGACGCACCGGTATTTTCTCTGCTGCGTTTATTCTTTTGGCCAGCTTTGGCATTATGGCACCTGCCTTGACAGCGTCTGCCAGGTAGGTGGCAGGTACCTAAACAGGTAATATGAGGCACAGTGGCTACATCTGGAATACTCAGTGAGGCGACCGAGTACCAGTTTCTGGGGAGGGGGGAAGCATCAACGTAGCAAGCTGAGTAACAAGCAACATCAGTTTGCTGGCATCCTGAAGCCCTTGGTTGGCCACTGCAGGATGGTCATTCGGTCTGATCAAGCAAAATGATGTACTTAAGGGCTTCTTACAGAGAAGTCTACCAAGATGCATTAGCTAACAGAGACGTGATACCACACACCTGCTCTTAATAGCTTACCGCCATTCCTGTCCTGGCGCCCTCGAGATGTTTTGGACTACATTGCCCCCAATCCCCAGAGCGTTGGGCTGAGGCGTGACTGCTGTTACGTGCCGTCAAGTCGCCTCCAACTTCATGGCAACCCTAGTAATGAAAGCCTTCCGAAACGTCCTGTCCAGGACAGCCCTGCTCTGCGCTGCTGAGTTCAGGTCTGCGGGTTCCTTTATGGGGTCCCTCCACCTCTTGCTTGGCCTTTTCATCTTCTGCCTTCAACCTTCCCTGGGATGATTGTCTTCTCCAGTGAGTCTTGCCTTCTCGTGTGTGTGTGTGTGTGTGTGTGTGTGTGTGTGCGCGCGCGCGCGCGTGCGCGCGTGGCGAGCGGGAAGATTAAACCCTATATTTGAATTGCCTTAATCCGCCGCTTTGTTTTTAAGGTGTATCCCCTCTGCCATGCAAATATGATGAAGAACATTAATAGAGCTGGCGGGATGATACCTCTGTGTATCCCGATGCTTCGCGTTTAACCCTTCAGACGAATATTTATTTATTTATTTATTTAAAACATTTCTATGCCGCTCCATCGCAATAAGCCTCGGGGCGGCTCACAACATCGGAAAAAAGTTAACCATACATTAAAACCCCAATACAATAAACCCCCCAGTACCATAAAACCTCAATAAAACCTCAGTGCGTTCTCGGCTAAAAAAACCCACCTAGTTAAATAAATTAACAATTAAAATAAGTTTTAAATAAAAAGGTCTTAGCCTGGCGCCGAAAAGCAAATAACAACGGTGCCAGGCGGACCTCTCTGGGGAGCGCATTCCATGGATGGGGCGCCACCGCAGAGAAGGCCCTGCTCCGGGGGCTCACCCTCCCGATGTCCTTCGGGGGGGCTCCCGGAGAAGGGCCTCTCCCGCCGATCTCAAGGGGCGGGAGGGCACGTATGTTCCGCTTCGTTAAATGTTATTCTGCCCTCGAGGACCGATTTCACGGCGCGCGGCGGCTCCCCCACCGACCGCAGGGCGCCCTCCCGGAGAGGTTCCGGGGCGCAGGCCGAGAGGCGGCAGGGCGCGCAGCCAGCCCGCGAGAGCCCTGCGCGGCTGGGGCGCTTCCCCGCGGGGAGCCGGTGACCCCCGAGCGCCACCCCCGGCGAGCGCGGCGCAAGCCTCACCGCTTTGGGCAGCCGCCGGAAGAAGCGGCGCGCCGCCTCGGCCCCCGCCGCGCTCTCCGCCGCCATCGCCGGGCCCGCGCCCTCCGCCCCCGGAGCGACGGCGCCGCCCCTCGCGCCCCGCGCGCAAGCCGCGGAGCCCCCCCCCCCCCGGAGGCACGGCTTGCGGACGCCGACGGAGGCACCCGCCTTGCAGGGCAGCGGCCGCGGAGCCCCCCGCCCGGGCGGCGAGGGAACGGGACGGAACCGGGAAGCGCGGCGAGAAAAGCCGGCCTGCAGCGCCGCACCTTCCCCCGACCCGCGGCGTCCCGGGACTACTGCCCCATCATCCCCAGCCAGCACAGGCGTTGGGCTGACCGCGCTTTTCATAGCAACGCCGGGACTCCTCCCCATCTGGCCCCGGTCACGCGAAGGAGCGACTGGCGCCGGGGTTGTGAGCAGAAGGGACCTTCCAGCAACAGGGCCAGGCCAGAGCATGCTTCTGGGTTCATAGGATCGGGGCAGTTTTGCTCCATGTAACGCAGTCGCTCATTTTCCGCATGGGAGGGGAAGTGCCGAGGACAACCATGACAAAGCAAAGCATAGTTTATTACCGTCTGTTAGAACATTCCTTTTCTAGGTTTGTCCAACATGATCAGTCCCACAAAAAGCCAAGGGGTTGGCTTGATAGCAGGTATCTGCCTTGCTTTTACATGCCCATCACTTAGAGAAGTAGCGGCAAGGAGCCAAAGAGAGTATGTGATAGGAGCATCAGATCAACTTTAAAATACGTTACTCAGTGGAATCACTCAGCTAGGATAGGTGTTGAGAAATGTTTCTACAGCAGTTCAAACATTTCTGGCAAATTTGTGTTACTTCCATACTCCTGTCTAGGGGAGATGGAGAAATACAACATGGGAGGAATATGGCGGCTGGTGTGATCACCCTATGGACAACCAAGAGAGACTAAGACCTGATTCACACATAATAGTAACCCATGGTATGGGCTGTTGAACTTGTGGGTGCCATGATGGGTGAACCCACCCATACTGTTAAACCACATACAACTCAAAAAGAGAACTCTGGGTTGTCTAATCAATGCGTAGATCCAGTCTGCATTTTATGCAGCGATTCCTGAGTTAACACAGGCACTTCTGGGGGAGAGTGAAGCACCATGGGCGTTCACTCAGCTCCGGCACACTCGCCTCTTCCACTTTCAGTCTGTTTTGCAGTGTAGCAACTCCGGGATGTTTCTGCGTAAAAGCAATCCCAGGTTAACCATTAAACACAGTTGGCTGCTTCAATGGCTCCTCCCGTGGAAACGTAAAAGGCTTTGCATAAAGTATCATTTCCCATTGGAAGCAGCCCGTGTAGGAGAGCTGCAGATGCACAGCTGTCTTCCGCATTCTGTATACCAGGTGCTGGGGAACAGAAGCAGGGAGGTGTTGTTGTGCTCTTGGCCTGCTCGTGGCCTCCCGAAGACATCTGGCTGGCCCCTGTGGGAGCAGAATACTGCACTGGACAACCCTTGGCGTGACCTGGCAGCACGCTTCTCCCATAAATGGAAGAGTCGCACACTGTCCTGCACTGGTCCGCATTTGGAGTGTTGTGCCCAGCTCTGGGCCCCTCGTTTTAGAGAAAGCTGCTGACCAAATGAAGCACATCCAGAGAACAACTAGGATTGTGAGGGATCCGGAAACCAAGAGCTGGGCGTAGCCTGCAGAAGACAAGACTGAGGGAAGGCATGAGAGTGATCTTCAAGGCCGCCCCGCGCGAGATGAAGGAGGTTTACTTTCCCACCTCAGAGCGCAGGACTAGAACAGCTAAGGGGAAACTGCAAGGAAGCAGATTTCAGCTAAATTTAGGAGAAAGTTGCTGACAGAGGAAGAAGCTTCCAGTAAACACGAGGAGAAGCATCCTCACTGGCTGGCAGGGGAACAGAATGCCTCAGGAGACGTATACAAAGCTGGAGGCATTTCAATTGAGCCGGACAATCTTCTCTCAAACCCGCTGCAAAATCTGTGTTAAGCAAGGCGTTAGGCGAAACCACCTCCAACTTTCATGATTTCAAGATAGCATTGGTCTACCAAACCTGGTTCAGTATTTAGACATCTTGTAGCTCTATTAAACCTTTTCAACTTTTCAAAAGACTGGGCGTTTATTTCAGGCAATACTGGAAAAGAAGCAAAGTTGCAGAACATGTTTAGATGATCAGAAACTGCCAGTGAAATGTTCGTGCAGCAGTGTGGACTTGGCTGCATTACCGTTTTGAAAGAAAAAAAGAAATACGTGCAGGAAACTTGCTAGCTACATCCACTACATGAAGGAGTGCACATCTGTTTAAGAAGCAAAGCTGCGCTTTAGCTGTGCAAAGTTTTCATAGAAAAAAATAACAGTGTATTTGAGAATCCAAAAAGGAACAAACCGCAGAAAACCGTCCTTCAGTGATTCATTTATTTTACCTTAAGCTAAAGGCAGGCCAAGTACAGATGCTGTACATTAAATATATATACGCGCACACACGCGCAAACACACACACACGGAACAGGTGATGCTAGGTTTCTTCTTGAAGTTCAGTTTGTGTATCTTCCTGTGTGATTGACTTCTGAGGTTTCGTGCATCAGTGCTCAGATGTAGAGCGAGCCATCTGCGGGGCCCACGTAGCCGACTCCTATAAGTAGCACGTCTATGAGGGTCCAAATTCCCAAGCCACCAAAACTGAAGAGTTTGCCAAGACCCTCTCGCCATTGGCCCAAATAGAAACGGTCTGCGCCAAAACCACCAAGCGTGATGCTGCGGAGAAAGCGTGAGGATGTGCATTTTATACATTACCCAGATTATTACACTGCTTTCTGCAGAGGTATTGCAGCAGTGAACTTGCTATGTTACACTAAAGAGTTGCATAATAAGCAAGGCAGCAGTAAAATCACACACCGCTCCAGCCCGTGTTAGTGGCTGTGGCTGGCTGGTTACACTTTCAAGAAAGCCTATATGAAGAAGCGGTCTTGAGAAGACAGATCTGCGGAGGTTTCTCTAACGACAGCCAGTAACGCAATTCCCGAGGCTGAATGCTGCAGCGCTTAAACCCTCTGAACATGCAAGCAGTTCAGAGTATGCAACCCAGAGAATCTGGGTAATGTATAAAATGCAAGCAGTTCAGAGCCTCAATCTCGGTGTCCATTTATCTATTGCAATGAAGTTTGCAGCAAGGCAATTAAATTCATCACTTCCTGCCACATGTCATCATACCGACACTGAACAATGTTTACGAACATTGTACAATTTAAAGAGACCTCCTAATTATCTGATCAAAGACTTTGCCTGCCTTGAACCTTAAGTGCTGAGGGTAAAGAAAAGGAAGAAAAACACAAAATGACTAAATTCCTGGCCTTAACCAAATGTCTAATCTAAAACAGATTTTAAAAAATATATTTAGCTGTTTATACCCCTGTATTTCAATTACGATTTCTCATATGAAAACAATAGATCAGAAAACAATCAGATTAAGAAAAGAAGTCTACAAGGCTTGAGAAAATAAAAAAGTTTTCTTTTCCCATACAACACAAAAAGACAACAGACTTGGCATCATGTGACTTCTGCGGGAGGAGACTCCTAAAACTGGGGTGCTACCACAAAAAGGCCCTGCCTCTGGTGGGGATAGGACCCATAACAAGACTTCCATGGAAGATCTAAGCACACATACAGGGGAAGCAGAAGTATCTACAGGGTCACACTAGCACTTTGAATTGGGCCCAGAAAAGAACTGGGAGTCAACATCACTATTTTAAATCCAGTGCAATATATGCTTTCTTCAGAGGAAAAATAAATTATATAGTACCAAACTACCCATAAAAGACCATTTGAGTGCATACGACCAATTAAATCATTTATTTATTTAATTTATGCTACATAAATGATTAAGGGAAGGCTTTCAGCCCATCTTAAAAAAACAGACAAAGAAAGAAAGAGCCTTTAACATATGGAAGGCATGGGTTATTGAATGTTTTATAGTCAAAGCCATCCTCAGCAAATTACAGGAGGAAATGAAGAAGCCCAAATATTGCTGCAATATCCTTCGAAAACGTTTAAAGGCAAATGATCAGCTAAGAATTTTCCATGAGCTGACCACCATTCTGGATCCCCATCAAGCTGCAGATTTTTTTGACCGTTCCACGACCACGTACTGGATACCCAAAGAGGCTAAACATCATCCTACCTTAGAGCCAAGGCTGTAGACCATTTATAGCCCCCAGTCCAGTTGCAGTAAAGCATCTTGGGAAAGACCCGGTTGCCTTAAAATTAAAATACATTAAAATCTTAGAGGCGCAACCACAAAGGTAAAGGAGGCCAGGGTGCCTATGTGGCAACCTCGGCCTTTTTAAAATCTTGGGTGGTGTGTACTGAACAGGAGCACGCGGTCATGTGCCCTCTTGCCCATGGTTTAACCATTGGTCCCAACTCTGAGTTGTCCCTCCCGTCTGCAAGTCACACACTGCTTAGTCTAGGTGGGAGCTATCAGACCATAAGCCAGCAGCTCATTCACAACACGGCAGGGCCTTTTAAAAGCGTGGGCTGTTCTGAATGGAATGGCTTACTGAAAAGATGAATGTCTTCCTATTTGCATATTCCTACTTCAAAGATTGCTGCAAACGCCAGCAGAAATGCATCAGAGAGAGCTGAATCACCATAGCTGACTTAAATTGTGATAGTAGACATGTTTAGACAGGAAAAAGGTCCTCTAGCTCCCAGCATGCCCCAGCAAGCCACGCTCTTAAGACCACAATCCCATGCTGGCTGGGGCATGCTGGGAGTTGGAGGACCTTTCTCCTGTCTAAACATCCCTAGGATTGAGTCCTATGGCAAGTCTGTGCTTAGAAAGATAGGTGTGATTCTACAGTCATAAGCAGGAAGTAACACATCATCCTTCTAAGTACTGAGTATTTTTTTGTGTGCCTCTAAAACACAGGAAAGGATGGGGGGGGGGGGGGGGGACTACCTGCATTTTCCGAGGCTGAGCCAGTTTTTAGTTCTCAACACTAAAACTTTTCAAACCCGAACTTCCACCTATTACAAGAAAATGCTACTGCGGTGAGATTTTAAAGTTACAGTGAAGCTTCACCCCAAGTAACAGGAGAGCATGGCTTACCTAGACAATGAATATGATCTCGCACTGTGCAATTCGCACTGTATCGCTCCCGTGGGCAAGAGACTGTCTTACAGTTTGGGGGGTCGGAACAAACATAATCCGATGGAGGAAGCTGCCAGCAAAACTGGCAAGTCATGTTGATCATGAAGGTTTTCTGGCGATTGTTTTTCTGATCCTGTGTGGATATCAGAAAAACTCCATCAGTCTTTTGGGAAGAATTCATGCACCGGATTCGCAAGACAGGGGCCTATATTATAAAGTTTAAGGCAAACAAATGCCTTCCTTTCTAATGAATAAGTAACTTGACTTAGTAGAAATTAAGGCTGCTAAGGATGCAAACCAATGCAGGTTTATTCAGGAAAATGGCCTACATCCCACATGCCCCAGTGAGCAATGGTGGGAGCTGGAAGGCCCTTTTTCTCTGGATGACTATGCACAGGACCTCACCTTTAATAAAACATCACTAGACAGACTAGACCATTCTTTCGTCTGCAGAATCAAATATAGCTTGCTTGACTCAAGGACAGGCACATGCAAGAATCCCCTCCCAATGACTTGTCAACGTTATCTACCACTGCCAGTGCCTCGATTTTAGACACCTTAAGGTATTAAGGAACTACCAAAAAGGGAGGGAGGGGGGGGAGGGTCAGCCACTAGGTGGATTTCCCCCTATGCAAGAAACCCAAAGAGGCCCCCACTGGGTTCTCTGCAAGAGGGAAAACTGTTACTTGTTTAAAATATGTAAACCAACAGAGAGCTCTACAGTAACTAAAAGAGTACCTAATGCATTGCAGCCTTAGTATCTGTGGCCTAGCCTTTACTTCATCCCATGGATGAATAATTATCCTCAATTGTCAGCAATGTATAGAGTATAAAAATGGGATCAAGCGATAATGAACTGTGAAATATGCAAGACCTCCTTCTGGTACATCACCTAGTGCCAGTACCAATATTCTCAGAAAATGCCCTCTTCATGCTACCCAAGATTTGATTTGATTTATTTAAGTTTCCTATGCTGTCCATTACTTTAAAAAAAAAAAAAGGTCCCTGGACGGCTTACAGATTTTGTTCATCTGTACCCAGCACCTCCGGACCTTTCCCAGGCAAGCATGCATTTATGCATCTTTCCTTCAAACAAGATGGCAGTCTTTTCCATGCAGTTTATGTTCTTAATACAAATGAATGACCACTCTTCCACTTACAACACAGTGGACCTGGGAATTGGCTTCGCATTCAAAAGCAACCGGCTTCCCATAGGTACAGGAGTAGTTTGTTTTGCAGGACATACACTGTGGAGGCAGCCGGCTGCAGAGTCCATTGCTAGGGCACTGGGTCAAGTAGGATGGAATTGATGTTGTCTCTAAAGAATTAAAATCCAGGAAAAACAGGCTCTGTTATTCTCCACACAAGGCTAGGAGATATTTGAAGCTCCCAGGTGCTGTTCCCAAATCAGCCGCATTTTCCCACATTGCTCAGCAAAGTTTAGTAATTCATTTGTTTCTGTTTTAAATACTTCACAAATGTGCAATCTAAGCCTATGCATATTTACTCAGGAGCAGCATCCACTGTATTCAGAGCAACTTACTCCCAGATGCAGGAGAGCAAAATCTCATTTCCATACTACCCAATAGCTGAAGCTTTCTATAAGCAAAATCTCCAGAGAATTCACTTCTGTGTAACCCTATTAAAGATGGCAGCCCCAAACCATTTCCACAATGCTAGAAAAATTTCTTTGGGTAAAGTTATGAGTCACATCCACCTAGGTTAGAGAAGATCTGCCTGTAACACTAAAAGCAAATACAGTAAGGGAACAGTCTGGAAAGTGTAACTGTTTTGAAATGCAGAAGAAGCTCTCACACACAAAGAGGAAAAATTGCTGTTTTCAGAGAAGTGACATTGTATTTAGTCACATGCATATTTATTTAGACCTATTCTCATATGGTTTCGTCTGTTTGTGAATATCACCTTCGGAGTGTATTAACATCCTTTTTGCTCCTACTGGGAAAAGGTTTCTACTAGGAGGTACAATTGGATTATTTTTCAAATTTAAAACTTCACTTATGTATTTTTAATTTGATGAAGATAGATGTATGTTTCAGATTTCTCTCATCACCCATTTCCCAGAAGTTGGTATGTTAACAATTAAGCCCAGAAAGGATCTCACAGGTAGAGCTTCAGGAGCAAGTCACTTTGCACACACAGTATTTCTCAGAAACCTCGAAAAACAAAACAAAAACATGGCATACCTGGTACTTTAGAAGTTGGAATGTGTGTGCTGGTAGGCACTGTTACAACCTTTGACAGCTGAGGTTGTGAATGAAATTCCTGCAAGCTTAATGATCCTGGGAAAAGGGGGAAACACACAAAACATTACATTTTTGGAAGCCGTAGTGGGATTTGCAAGGAGGCGTTGCAGATGTCCAAGCATCCATCCTTCGAACCGGGCTCTTCCAGTGGCCCACCTTCCAGGTGCGTTGGGGGCGATGCAAGTTGTACTCCCAACACAGCTGAAAGGCGCCGACGTGGAAAAGGCTGCTTTGGACCATATAAAGCCAACCTATGCTCCTCCTGAGCATGTGCAGAGAGTTTTCCTCCACCACCCAGTCAATCCCGAGAACCATCACCGGCTTTCCTCCCTGAGCAGGAAGGGCTCCCCAATCCAGGGGAGTCCTGAGCGGCAGCACCCCGCCCTAAAAGTGGGGTCCCCCTCCCCGCGGCGTGCTGACTGAGGTGGCGTCCGCAGCGGCCTGCATGCCGATATTAAGCGTATCAGCCAACTAATGGCAACGGACAGCGGAGAGGACGAAACGCGCCCCCCCCCCCGCGCACTCACCGCGCCCGGAGAGGACGTAGAGCTGCGAGAGGAACAGGGCGACGCGGCAGAGCCTCTGCAGCGCCCGCAGCGCAGCCACCACCAGCGCCGCCATCTTGCCCTCATCCGGGGACTCGCGCGGCTCCGCCCCCACCTGCTGCCGAAGCGGGACGGGCGCAAAGGGGGGGGGAAATCGCGCCGGGCTCGTTCTGCGCAGGCGCGGACTGGGCACCGCCTCCCGGGCCGGAAGTCACGTGGCCGCGGTGCCGGCACGTGCCTCCGGGAGCGCGGGGGAGGGGCTGGCTCGGCGCGGGCTGGACGGCGCCCGGGGGCGCCCGTCCTGCCCTGCGGAGAGCGGGAAGCGGGGAGCGGGGAGCGGCTCGTGCAAGCGCCCCTTCCCCCAGAAATGCAGCGCCACTTTTGGGATCGCCACATGAGGACTGAAATCGATCAGATTGATTAGGATCCCCCCCGCCCCAGCAGCGGAGAAAAGGCGTGGCGCCTTAAAAGCTGTCCTCTAGCTTATCAGCAATATACCACTGTGCCTCTATGTATATTTTTTAGTGTCAGTTGCCCGGCAAATGCTTGTTTGTGTGTTTATTTAGGGGACTTCTGTGCCGCCCCATTCGCCGAAGCCTCGGGGCGGCTCACAACCATAAATAAATAGAATCCTATAAAACAATATAAATTAAGTCGCCCTGGCCGAAGAATAAAATAATATTAACAATTAAAATAACGTTTGAATAAAAAGGTCTTCGCCTGGCGCCGAAAAGCAGACGAAGACGGCGCCAGGCAGACCTCTCTGGGGAGCGCATTCCATGAGTGGGGCGCCACCGCAGAGAAGGCCTTCCTCTGGGTGCTCGCCCTCCTAATTTCCTTCACGGAGGGCTCCCAGAGGAGGGCCTCTCCCACAGATCTCAAGGGGCGGGCGGGCATATAAAGATGGTCCATTGCTTCAAGATGGTCCACTGATCCCACGTATACCAAGCATGAGAAAATAACTAATGTTGCTAATTGTTTGCTGAAAAAAGTGGCCTTCTACCATCTCTTAATAATTCCAAGTTGTTGAGGTAATTTCAAGTTTTGGGTAAGGTTTAGAACAGGGGCTACTCTCTTGCTTAGTTTGACCCCGCAAACCAACAACAAAAAACCATCCAGGACACTGTATGTTATTTTCTCTCTGGCTAATCCACATTGTAAGATTCTTGTATTTAAAACAAAACACAACCAGCCGTCTTCCATGACACTCGGTGCTCCTTGAAGGCAATGTAAAATGAAAATGGAATGACTGAATTCATGCTGTGTAGAGAAAATACTGTTTGCGGTGGCCAGCCATCTAAAATTTAGAAAGGCCGGTATTATTATTATTATTATTATTATTATTATTATTAGAACATTTCTATGCCACCCCTTGCCGAAGCCTCGGGGCGGCTTACAACACAATAAAATACAATACAAAAATAACAATATAAAATTAATAATATAAAATAAATAAATATATAAACGATATAAAAGAAGTTATAAAAGAAAAGTTATAAAAGAAAATTTATAAAAGAAAAGAAGAAAAGGAAAGAAGTCGCCCTGGCCAGATGAATAAGTGAATATTGTTAACAATTAAAATGACGTTAAAATAAAAAGGTCAATCACAAGCTAAGGTTCTCCCCCTCCAAGGTTGGTCCTTTTAAGCTCCACCCTTGAAGAAGTAGTCCTTTCCGTCCTACAGCCTTCCAGATGCCTTCCCAGGAACCACAGGATTGCACTTTAAGACATCCGTAATCTATGCAGACAAATATTTTCCTCTTAAATTGTTGCCATTAGAATTACCTTGGTATTCGCTTTCATCTCGTCTCTATCCATGGCCTCAGCAGTAGCAAGAAAAAGGCAGAGCTTTGCTATTTCAAAGTTGAAAAAAATAACCGGAACAACTATTTGCTATCTAGATAAATAACCCTGATAGCCCTGATCAAGAACATCATTTCAAACAAGAAACTGACTTGTTAAGACAGTACCACCACACTGAGAATTAAAATTTTATTTAAACAAACAGGGCAAAACACATTCATTGCACTGTAACTCAACTTGAAAACTTCAAACAAAGAGTTGTATGTGGGAGTGAGGGGGAAAAAGGACCAATAAGGCAGGGAAGGACCAATAAAAAACATGTTATGACACAAGAACCACAGTGTATTTTTCTATGCAAGCCCCAGTACATACAGCCACTGTTCATTTCAATGAGGCTTGTGCAGGACAATGTCTTTGTGGATTATGCCTTCCGAGTCACGGACAGTAAATCTAGAGATTTCCCATTCATGGTATGGATCCACAGTGCAGCCACCCCCATTTCAATCCCATGTAGAAACTGACCATGAAAGGCCCAAGAGGCTTTCTGGACTTCAGGGTCACTTTGACCTTGTGTGACCTTCAGCGCCAAGACTTTAAACATATCAAGGCATATACAACATTCAGGTGAGGGGGACTAATAGGATCAAGTGAGACGGGTCAAAATACCCAATACACATGCACAAAAGATTTGGCTCTCTTCGGCAACCAGAAAGATCAGCAGCATTTCTAAATATATTCAGAGGCCTTCCATTTAGAGGCCTTGCCAAGCTATCTATCTAGTGGGTCATTTTTGCTGTAAGCGATCTTGAGTATGCTTTTGCATTATATAAACCAATTTTCTGCAGAACTTAGAAAGATTCATGCTGTTTCCAGTGACTTCGAACAATGCTCCACCTTTTCACAGTATCTCAAGAGAAGCTGCATCAGCTAGGTTTTATTTTCCGACTGTCAAGAAGTACTACAGCATAGGAGCAGCGCTCTAACCCAGGCCTACGACCCTCAATGTGTCTGTTAGGAAGGAACCCCCCAGCCCGAATACAGCTGATATTTCCCCGTTGGTGTGATCTGTTGGAAAATACTAGAATTCTTCTTCTGCGTGTAAAGTACGCAGCACTTTCAGTGTCGTTAGCTTTTCGATGGCAGAAGTGACCGCAACTTCTCCGTGGACCTTGTTGTCTCTTGTCCGCACATTCACAGCATTATTGGCTTTCTCCTTCTCTCCAACCACTGCAAAAGAACAAAACAGAGCCAACATTGCTTGTGACGCACGCACGGTGCCTTCTCGATTGTAGGATTGTTGTCATCCTATTCACATTCACTCCAGAGGAAATGCACTCTATCCAATAAGACTATCTGCAAGTCATAGTTAAGGACTTGATATTTAAGGATTCATTACAAGAGGCAACTTGTATTGTGAACAAGCATCTGTTCGGTGAGGTATATATTAATTTTCTATAGGGGAACGTAGGGCACCTGAATAGGAGGGGGCTACTGCATTCGAGTCTGGCTTGTGTGCTTCCCACAAGGAGCCGGTTGGCCACTGGCTGGACTAATTGCACCTTTGCTCAGATGCGCCAGGACTTTTTCTGAGGTCTCTTCCCTCTAACTATCACCATCAATGTTGTTTGCTCATACGTTTTTCCCTCTGAAAAGAATATGACATTTCTCAATTCAAAAAGAAGCCGTCGGTACCAAAGATGAAGTTATACTGAGCCAGTTGCGCATTTCTGATCTTCTTGTTTAATGTGCAGCTCTGGTCTAGATCAACCTCAGCCCTGAATCCAGCCTCAAAGAAGTCGCTGCAGACCTGAAAAAAGGAACGTTAAAGGGGGTTGTTAGAATTTGAAATGTGCAAAGCTCTATACTGAAGACATCTTGGAAGGTAGTTTTTCTGATGCTCCCTATTCTCAGGGGCGCTTTTCTTGGGTAATCTGAATACAGAGAAATTGTGGAGACGGGATGTGTTCTGAACAGCACTGCCTGTTCACAGAGGGAACCACCCAAGCCTGGAGGGCACTGCTTGTGAGTTTCTTGTGGACAGCTAGATAGCCACTGTGTGGAGGGAATATTGGACTAGATGGACCCTTGGCCTGACCCGGCAGAGCCGTTCCTATGGCATACCACTGGCCTAGGCCCCTGGAGAGCAAATTCTGGAAAACTTCCTTCTATGATCCTTCTGATCTCTTGCAAAGCTTGGCCAGTACTTCTGATCATCTCGATGCATAACTCCTGAAGGCTGCCAAGAAAGCCCATGGGGTTAAAATAGGTCTGTACAGTATTGAAGAGTGTGCTCTGTTCTAAGACCCACTTCTACAGGCAACATTTATTTAGAGTATTTCTGAGCCACCCATTAAGGCTCTGAGCAAAATACATTAAAAGCTTTGAAAATACAATATAGGTGAACATACAATTACAGGGCACACGCTCTCTCTCCTCCACTACTCGGAATCCTGGCCACCTCTTGCTTTCTGCAGACGTTTTGGTTCTTACCTGCTGAGCGTATTCCTCACAGGTAGGGCTGACAGGAATCACCATGATCTGCTGAGGAGAAAGCCAGAACGGCCTGGCCAAAATAAGAACCACAGTAAACACACAAGTGATAACTTTTTCTTCATGTCAACACTGATCAGCAGTTTAAAAAAAAAAAAGACTGGATCATCTCCAGCCCAATTTTCAAGCAGAAGTAGTCTGATTTAAGTAGGTTTATCCCCATTCACGCCAGTGGGTCAAAACTGGTTCAAACTGAAGAAACTTCTTCTCAGTAAGGCTGTAGCAACGGACTACAGATGAAACATCGCGACTGTTCCCTCTCTCAATTCAGGCACATCGCTTAGGGCAGCTGCACCCACAGGATGCCCCCTGCTCCAAGCGGCGCTTGTGCTTCAGTCACTGCAATGCCAAATGTGACCCATCTTTGTGGGTAAAAAAGCACCGCACTGCCAGATCACAAAGTCACAAAAACCTATCCTGTGCACCACCTGCCTTCTCTTCCCCAAAAGCCATACCAAGGCAAAATGGGCAGTGCAGGATTTAATGGAGGGATCCCTGCCAGTCAAGTCAGGTCACCTGAGAAAGGTCTATCACGTCACACAGGATAAAAGGAAACACTGCGCTTGGAGTATGTCCATTGGCTGGAGGTGGTATCCTGCTTTCTCCCCTTTCTGGGATTACACTGGTGGAGGAGACTGGTTTCCTGGGAAATCGCTTCTGCATCTGACTTGCCGAGCCATTTCCCTGCTTCCCCTGGATTTGATTAAGAGGCATGTTTGAACCGAAGGGGACAAGCAAGCCTCCAGAGTGACGCCATCCCTTCAAAATGGCCAATGGCCAATGACCCAAAGTTTGCCCATTACCTCTCTGAGAAACGCCTTTGTGTTAACTCTCAGTTTCTGGCTCTGTTTCCTGTCCACAGGGAGCCTTATAAAACTCTGCAACTGTCAGAACCATTCCCAGTTACTCTGCTACATACCATTTTCCACCATAGTTTTCTGCCAGAATAGCAATCATCCGTTCCACCGAGCCCAAAATAGCTCTATGAATGATTACTGGCCTTTTCTTGTCATCCCCATCTTTCCTGAGAAAGAAAAGAAGCCAAAAGCTGAAACAATTTATACCAGTAATACTGCTGTGATCTTGATTTAAACTCGGGCATTTTTCTCAATTGCACTCAAGTTAATAGTAGCACATTAAAAGGTCGTGATCTTCACTACATACACTAAATTTCCCCCATGCAGCTTCATACAAGAGAGTGCCATTCTATTTAAAGAAGACACATCACATTTCTCCTGTAATCCCTCAGCCCCCTTTGCTAGTCTGGGGTCTGACATAACCAAAGACGTAAACTGCCCAGAAAGCTTGGGCTATGGGGCTGTATAAAAATGTGATGGTGATGAAGGTGTCAAAGCAGTTCTTTTGCAAACTTACCCCACGTAAGTAAGATTAAATCTGATAGGGAGCTGGAAGTCGAGCTGGATTGTGGCACATTGATGGTATCGCCCGATAGCATCTCTGATTTTAATATCGATCTGCAAAGGAGAAGCATAGTACAGTCTTTAATCATTAATCCCCTACTAGGAGGCGTAAGAGAGAAGTAAAAGCACACGTTACAAACCTTGGGGCCATAAAATGCTCCATCTCCTGCATTCAGCTTCCAGGGTTCTCCAAAGCTATCCAGGCTGTTCTGAAGTTGCTAAGAGCAAGTTACGTGAAAAAAGTTGACACACCAGCAACGTAAGCACAGTCAATGTATTGCAGAGCTAGGTCATTTTCTCTGAGCGGAAGAATTCAACCTTTCCCTTTATTACCTTCTCCGCATGATCCCAGAGCTCCTTCTCCCCTAGAAAGTTTTCAGGTCTTGTGGAAAGATGTAGTTGAAAGGTAAAGCCAAAAACAGCATACACGGCCTGAAGAAAATTCAGGCAACCTTTCATTTCTTCTTCAATCTGAAATTTAACAGAGACGTAAATCTGGGCTAGAAATTACAACATTAGAGGGGACCCTTTTGTAAAAGATACCACCTGTGTAGCACTTAGACCCCATTAGTTATGAGCACTTGCTTGTCGTGAACTCCCCTCCCCATTAGAAAAACCAAAACACCCATCTGCCATGGCAGTCCCAACACATGAGCCTAACCTGCTCCATTGTGCAAAAGATATGGGCATCGTCCTGCTGGAAGCGCCTGACCCGGGTCAACCCGCCCAGAGTCCCTGAGAGTTCATTTCGGTGAAGAACGCCAAAGTCAGCCAGTCTTAATGGCATCTCCCTCCAGGACCGGGGACGATGGGAAAACATCAGGCTAGGAGAGGGAAGAGCGCATGTGAGGTCAAATTACCCTGTTGAGCTCAACTGATATATGTACTGCATTGTTTTCTTGCCCCGGTTTCTAATGGATTTTCCATATTTTATCCGTTGTATTTTAACCCAATTTCCACAACATTGTTGTGACAAACCAAGCGATGGTGAGTGACTGACAACATAAGAAAAAACTAAAAATGAAATAGAGGGCTGCACAATCCATGATAAGGAGGTGGGCTCTCCCATACAAGTTCTGCTCCCTGCCTTCCCCTTCTGTAGCCATGTCTCCACTGCAGCCAATCATTTCTAACCACATTCCAAGACATTTCTCAGCCTCAATTATGAAAACAGATTTTAAAGCATGGTCTCCGTTTCCTAATCAGGGACCAAGGAGCACTCTTAATCATGGTAAGCAATTAGACACAGTAATTCTTCCATAAGAATGTTGCTTTAATCCAAGCTAAAATGCAGTCCAGAATGAATGAATGAATGAATGAATGAATGAATGAATGAATGAAATTAACACATAATAATGGGGAATAATCTTGAAAAGAACTACAAACCAGTGTCCAGGACAATTCATTGGCTTCAGGGCAAAGGTTTCCTTCTCTGACTCGAAAGAGAACATGTTTTCACTGTAGTGCTGCCAGTGACCAGATGCTTCCCAGAGCTTGCTATTGTAGATATTAGGAGATACCACTTCAGTGAAGTTACGCCGATGGTATTCTTCCTGCAGAAGCAAATCCAAGTCTAATAAGTGATAGGCAAAACATAACATAAAAGTGACATTTTCAAACACAATAACAATTATGGTTGAGTCTTGACCATGGAAGTACTCATCCAAGTAACCTTTCACTTATGTTAACTGTGCAAATATCCTTTGAGCATAAGGATATAAACATATATGAAACGAACATAAATAAGTCATACTGGCAGAGACTTCTGGGAATTAATGCCCCAAAGACCCAGAGATCTACCTTCCACTGACCCTTGGTTCAGAGGATCTTTAATGGCCATAATCATCAGAATAAGAGAGAAAAAATCAGTCACCACAAAAAGTAGCCAATGGGCATCTCTCTGTGGGAAAAAAGAGTGCTGTATAACAAAATTAAATTATTCTTCTTCAATAAATGTTCTTACTTTGATAAAATCCATGAGTGTATTATAAAGTAAAGCGCCCTTGGGGAGAAAGAAACAGCTTCCAGGACTCAAATCATGAAAGAAGAAGAGTTCCTGTTCCTATAAGCACATAAACAAACAACAGTAATTAAACAAAGGTCTTATTTTATGAAGTCATGCAATATAAATATGGATATAAGTCATCTGCCATTTTTCTATGGTGAAGGTGAACTGGGGTGAAGACAGATTGTCTACTAACCTTTCCCCAAAGTTCCTTCCCACATCTCTCAATATGGTTCTGAGAGGCAGTGCCACAGAAGAGAACAAATGTAATGTTGGGGAGTGATGAAGGCTGCAGTCCTAAAATGGACTTTAAAGGATTATGTCCCATTGACCACAGTATGCCTCACTCCTAAGTGGCAGCCTGCAGCCAGATTCAACCAGATTCTTCTGCATCCCTACGACTCAAAATAAGCCAAGTAGTCATCCGTATCATCACGAATCAGTACTGCTGGGACCAGAACTGTGCCCATGATGTATATAGACTAGAGAGCTGAGGTTAATATCCCATGCATCTCATCCTCAAAGGCTTATACCTGAGAGTAAACCTGGAAAATTTAAGGAATCGTAAGAGACTCCTTTTGGGGCTTACAGCTGAACACCTAGGTTAAAATTAAGAAGGATGCATAGAAATCTACCTTGCCAATTTTCCTGTGATCCCGGTTTTTGGCTTCCTCCTGGAACTTCTCCCACTCTTTCATCATTTTGTTTTCCGGGAATGATATTCCATAAATTCTCTGCAGTGTTTCCATGTCAGCTTTTCCCTCCCAGTATGTGGAGGAATTCTGATGCGGAAAATGTTACAAAAAAAAGGGGGGGGTAAAATAAAAGCATTTGCTCAGGCAAACAATGCATAATGATTCCGATCATTTCAACACTTTATGGGAGCAAGAGCATCTCTCGTTGCTGTACAAGGTTGTATGAAGAAATGCCCACAATCCTTTGAGAAGCGAGCCCAGCTGAATGCATCCCTGCCTTGCCTCCTTATCTCTGAAGCTCCATCACCATCCCCAATGGATGCTGCCCTTTCTCTGTTACTGCCTCACAGGCTTGGAACACCTGAGATGTGGGGCCACCCCTTACTTCGTGAAGTCCCTCCTCAGACCCTCTACTCCCCAGACTTTGCTCAACCCACCTAACTCCTCTGCCCTACTGCAGGGGTCCCCATTTAAAAAAAAAAAAAAATGGAAGGCACATTCACGATTTGGAAAGAGTTATGGGTGTTCTGACAAAATACTCGTCATGAATGGAGGGCTTGTCCACTCATGAAAGTGCTGGCAGGGTGGGTCACAAAACACTATTTCCCAAAAGGCAGGCTGGTGAGACAAAAAGCAAAGTACAAGGCAGAGGTGAGGGTGAATGCCAAAACACCGAAACCCTCTAATGAACCCAAGTAAAAATGGCACTGGGGGGGCAGAGTTCCATTTTTCAGCACGCCAGGCTCCTAGGTATTTATTTTAATTGCAAAGAAACAAAATTAACATTGGAAGAAACAAGGAGTCTGACTGGCACCAGAGGAGCATTTCTGGGCACGGTGGTACAAACAGGAACGGCACTGCAGGCCTCCTGTAACCATGCCGTTCTCTCTTTGTAATCCTTCCTCAATTCCCCTGCCCTCTTCTGTGACTTCACTGGTTCAGACAGTAGTTTCCGTAGCACAGGGATCTGTCCCCTTGCACAGTAGAAAGGGCCACGCATGCAGACCGTGCTAGATAAACAAACTCAGGGATACTAATTTCTAAGTACAAGTTCACAGAACTTAATAAATTAAATGCTGCCAACATTGGGTAAATTAAGTGCTGCCTTTCAGCAGAAAAGCGTCTTCATGGGCTGAGACGGCCCACGCTGAATGCCGGACACAACAGCGACAAACAAGGCGGTGACCTCCGTGCCCTGCTCGCCAGCTCCCCGAGGCACCTGCTGGCAGCTTCGGAAGCAGAACGCTGGACCACACGGACCTTGGTCTGATTCAGCAGGGTATTTTTAAGTTCCTAAACCCAAACTGACATTCAAAGGAGCCTTGTTCTGGAAAACCACAGCCAGCCCTCCTCCTCTCCCTGCCACCACCCCGCTGGCTTCTTTTAAGATTTGCCTTTTGTCATCTTGCATTATGTTTCATCAAACCGCAAGATGCAAAACAACAGGCAGAAAAGTTGGAAGCTGATTTGGTTGGACAGGAGGATACGGAGGAAGAAGCTGCCCGCATCTTCCCGTGGCCAGACGCTGCTATCCGCTTGGCTGCTCAAATTCTTGGACTTAACAAAACAACACCCACACGCTCATGCAAGCAAACAGCACAATCCCATGGTCCTCTTCACCCAAGGATCTCAAATAGATGCTTCAAGCTATTGGGGGTGGGGGGCGGGTACAAACAGCGTCTAGACACCAGGCACCAGCTGCCCAAACAGATTAGTGGCTTCTGGGCATCTAGGTGATCGAAGAACGTGAGAAGGACCCAGATGCTGGGTCAAACCAAGGGCTCCATCTAATCTACCCTTCTGCTCACAGGGGGGCCAACTAGCTGCCCATGGGAAACCCACAAGCAGGGTGTGAGCGCAACATCACCCTCCTCCCCATGTTCCCCAGCAGCAGGTGAACACAGGCATATTGCCTGATTCTGCAAGTAGCACAGAGCCATTGGGACTAGTATCAGAAGCAGGATAAAAGTCTTGCTAATAGAGACACATAAATATATGGAAAAAAACTTTGCTTACCTTAACGATCTTTAAGGCCTTAATTTTCCCCGTATGTCTCACATGAGGCCCTCTGCATAAGTCAATCAATGGACCACACCTATCAGAACATTATAAAGGTTCGGGTACAATTTAAAAAATATGGTACCGGGTACCTTTATATTAATAGCAAAAATATAATACACATGGAACTTTGTGTTACACTGTCCATTAGCATTTATACTGAACTCCTTTAACTACTGTTCTTCCATTTAAAATGAAACTTCAAATGTCACCCCAAACCATGGTTTCTGCTGTCAAATGTACATCAAGAAACCATGGTTTAGTGCTGTTTGTTTGCTTGGGTATGCTCAGTTAAATCAGTTTGAGCCATGGTTGGGTGACATTTTGAGGTGGAACGATACCCATAATGACAGCTTCTCGAAGTATGTGTACCATAGTCCAATAGCTTGCAAATCCTCTTCAAACTACAGTTTGATCACAATGACTGCTTGTGATCCAAACACAAAGCATGGCTTGTCAACTCAGAAATCATGTCAAACCATAGTTACACTTCCTTAAGCATGATCTGGAGTGAAGTGTCAAATGAACAAATAAATCAGGAATCATATGCCTTTCTCTGAAACCAAAACACTACATAAAACGCTATTTGCACATATTTCGCTCAGCTCCCCTCCCTGCGCTGAATTTAGAATCTCTGGCTATTGAGCAGTAAAGCAGTTACATTAATAATTCTTAGACTGTTAGATCTCTGGGGCAGATAAAACCATATAAAGTTCCATTTATGTTGATAGCGCTATATACATTAATAATACTTTTTAAAACTCACTGTGTTACCAATGTTCTCAACAACAGCATTCTCTCAGTAGCATTTATTTCTAAATCATATGTGTGGGCACAGAATTCTCTCTCAAACTGTGAAATTGCACTACTCCGACATGCATTTCTTCCCCATTATGGACAAGTCAGTCATTGCAGAACGCAAGGCAAAATGCACTTTTTTTACCTGTACACTGTTGTTGTTGGTGTGTCAACTTTCTCATTCAGGATTCGACATTTGAATTTGTTGTACTATGGAAAGGAAAAGCAAGCAGGAAGAGGAGGAAATGCATTGTGAAGTAGCCTTTTCTTGAACATCTAATGAAAATATAAAGCCTTGGGACCAAGCCTGAGTACGGCCCCCTGGGTCATTTCCTGTCCATTATTCAGGATCCTTTTAAGAGGAGATGCACCACGGAATGGAACACATTTACCACCCAGCCATGGTCCTTATCCCGGTCATATTTAAAATGGGTGCCACAGCTCTTTGTGAGGCTACTGGACTGTCAGCTAGGAGCTTCCTGAGTAATTCATTCTGACATGGTCCAGAGAGTCAGACGTTCCTATCAGCAGAAAAGTGTGTAATGCAACATGCCCAGGAAGCTAGAAAGAAATGAGATGGGCTGGCTAAACCCATTAGTTACACCACGCATAGTTTGTTACTGTTATGTGCTGTCAAGTTGTGTCAGACTTAGGGTGACCGTATGCATAAACGTCCTTCAAAACGTCCTACGCCCAAGAGACCAGCTCAGCGATTCCAAACTCGAGGCTGGGCCTTCCACTGTGGAGTCCGTCTGTCTCTCCTGCCCTGGCATGACTGTCTTCTCCAGGGAGTTTTGCCTTCTCACCATGTGCCCACAGCACAACAGCCAACGGCCTCAGCTTAGTCTCGTGGCTATCGCTCGTTAATCAGTTACTGCAGGCTAAATAGTCTCTTGCTGCAACAGCTCCAAAGGCAACGGCTCTGAAGCCAGCCTCCAGGGAAGAAAGCAAATACAGTCGTGGTCACAAGTTCTAATCCTTCCTAAAAGAGATGGTATCTGTTCTTTCAGGACTACGAAAGAGTACTGAGAGAGCATGGGGGTACTTTCAATGGGTTTGCGCTGTATCGGATGATGAGATGAAGTAGGGCTGCCCTGAAGGAAAACTGCTCTCCATTTCCCTGGAGTCAGAGTGGAGAAACGTTTCTCCAGGAGAGAAGGCAGTTGGGAGGTGCAGAGCACAGAAAAATGCTCAGTGGAGTTTGCGACGTTCCAAGAGCACAGAGCATACTTCTGACCCCTCCTCATTTTGCTCTGTCTGTGTGCAGGCTTGCTAAAATGTTGGACAAGGAGAAAAAAGCCACGTTTTGCTCCAATGGACCACCACACAGTGGCAGAGTCCTTGGTTGCATGCAAAAGGTAGAGTAATCATGGAGTTTATTTTGGTTGAGTGTTGGGAGGCATGTTTACACCCTGTGAAAACAAACGACTTAATTTAGACTCCAAAGTTCAAAACAATGTTTCTCTTGTGCGACTGCCAGAAGTGATAAACCCAGAGACTTACTTTAAACATATCCAGCAGGATCTCTTTTCGAATTTCTAGCCGTTCAAATGTCTGCTTCTCCTTTATGATGTTTTTACATATGTTCTCCAGTGCTGGGAATTCTGTACTGGATACGCCTCTGGGCAAAACAAGGGCCGATCATCATAAAGTATGTGGCACAACGAAGGTATTCACTTTCATCCCAAAAGGGGAAATCACACAAATCCCTCCATCTTCTCATATGGCAGTTAAGGAAGGTGGTCCTGTTTACTGCTAAAATTCCTTTAAATTGTACAATATATAGTTTCTATATATTAGAGTTAATCTCATTCAAAGTGCACACACTTTAATGACTACTTCTGACTGTTTAATGCTTATTTTTAAAAGATATATATCCCATCCTTCCAATCCATAAAATAGAACAATCCCAAAATAACCTCTACAAAGAAGACAAAAATAGAAACGGATTCAGCAAACAGAAGTTACATAAGAAGAATTGATCTGCATCAGGGTTTTGTCCATGGCTTCAACATTTCCAGAAATTGCATGTAACTAAATATAGTGTACTGGGGTGAAAACTCTACATCTTTCAAAATACTTAGATACCCAAATTTATACACTGTATTTCAAGTCACCGCATCAGCTCCAAGATATTAGCACTGGTTGGCAAAGCACTACCTCTTCTCCATGTACATGTCGTAATAAAAACCATTCTCAATGGGAGGTCCATAGCATAAGCATCCACCATAGTAGTTTTCCATGGCTTCTCCAAGAACGTGTGCACTAGAATGCCAGTAAACCTGCATTTGAAGAAACAAATAAATGACATCATGTTAAAATCCACACCTACCTCTCTCTCCTATTAAACTTGAGCTCAGCTATCAAATGTTTCCACCCGCAGATACAAAGCCTCTGCCTAGGCAACACCCCTCATCTTTAATCATGAGTCTAAGAGAAAGCTTAGCCTAGTAAAGCCTGGCGCATAACCCAGTTCACCAGCCCCGACCCCATCCTACTTTCCCGTTAGTCACCATACAAACCCTCTTTTTTCCACCATCTCCTCTATGGTTATTTATTCCCACTTCACCACACTTTGCTAATGATGAATTACTTCTCCATTTGACCACCCGGCAACAGGAAGCACACCATGTTGTAACGTCAGCAGCCTCGTACAAATGTTCTAGCCCGAAAACGCATACCCACAACTACTTGGATTGTTCTGGTCTAGCACTAGTCCTGTGAACACAACAGTTTCCGTGTCTGGCTAAGTCCGTTTGACTGGGCCATGCAGTTTTGCGTCGTATTTGCATTAGTTCCATGTTTCTGCACTGGGGCTTCCGAGTCCTAGTTCGCCTGCGAAGGGAGACAAGCTCACATACGGCTTGGGCTTCTTCATTATCGAACATCAGCAGCTCCAGGGTTGAGTCTCCCTCCATCGGCCGATCGAGATCCCATAGCTCCCCATTCACTTTGGCTATGACAGCGTTATCAGCAAGTCCTCGGCTAAAGACAACAAACCCGCTAAAGATGTTGCCACCACATATTTAAATACAAGAAATACAAAACTTTGCCAAAGAGGTTTTTTGGTGTTTCACTTTTTGAGACTAAGCTTGTATTGATATATTTAACAAGAGGTAGATTCAGGGTAGGGGAGGAATAGATGTTAAAACTCAAATGTGAGCAAAAACAAGTTATCGTACATTTAAATTTAACATAACTGTCAGTGCTTTTTATATTTCATTTCCCTCCAACCTCATTGATAACATTGTACATTTTTCTCTACACTCACATATACCTCTCATCTCAGGTTAACAAACCATATCCTGGATTGTTATATACGAACCAGGTCTATAGGGTAAACAGAGGTTAAACAACCCACAATTAACCTAACTACTAATTGCAGATTAATCATGAACAACCCAGAGTTCACAGCCCAACAAGCAATGGGTTCCTTTTTTGCATCGTTCATGGTTAACAACACCTAGTTTGTTACTCCCACATAATGATAATCCACAATTCAGCCATAACCCAC